AGTTGATTTGGTCTGATAAACTATTAGATAATTTAATTAAGGGAGAACTCTGGGGTTTATCTTTCTAGGACATTATCGATTACCAAGGCCTTCGGGTCTTAACAGAGTGATCGTCCTTGCAAAAAAAAAAAAAAAAAAAAAAAAAATCACCAAATAAAATGTTCGCTAGGTCTTCTTTAACGGAAAACTGACAATCAATGTTGATGTTGTGACCAGCTAGCGATTTTGTTAACAGTACATGTATAGTTTGGAGTAGCCCGCCCTTGGAGGAAAGTACGTCGTTAAAGTACATTCGCCGTCTTGAGTTATGTCGAAAAGGACATTCACTGGGGCCTAACGTTATCAAATGTAATTGTGCTCACGTACAACACACACATGTGCATGTTCTGCACGTGTGTATAGATTATCCGTGTTTCATATTCATTGTAAATATACCATCTACATTCCTACATGCGATTTATGAATAATACAAGACTAAAGTACTTTATCGTTTTAAGGATATTCGATCTTTTATAAAATTACTAACATCGATACCTAGAGAAAACGCAACACTATCTGTGATCATTCACAACGATCCTATCCTGAACCGAATACTGTGTATAATCACCCATAACGATACCTAGACCCAACCGAACACAACTATTCCTAGACCAAATCGAATATTATGTGCAATTACTCAAAACGATACCTAAACCATCCCGAATACTATGTGTATTCAGCCATGATACCGATACCAACCCGAATATTCTCTGTAATCACCCACAACGATACCTAGACCAAATCGATTACTGCATAATCATTCATAACTATCCTAGCAAACCGAATACTATTTGGTAACATCTCACACATATATCTAGCCCAAATCCAAAGCTATCACTAACACTTCTAAACAGGACTAAAAACAAACTTTAGCCGGCTACTCTACATAACGGAAATGCACCAACACTGTCAAACGGTTTTTTTTTATTCCCGCCTTTTCGGTAGCTTTTCCCTTCTGCCCAAAAATCTATCCTCTTAACCTTATTCCAGAAATCTAGGGCCCATAACTAGGTCAGACACCAAACGCCCTAAATACCTTCTAGCACGAGCTGGGTGGTGCAGTGCTGAATGTCATGCATACCTTTATCAGGGTCTACTTTCTTAGGGCGTCATGTCATGGGATCAATACGCGATTATTTTTGGAACATTTGCCCTCCCCCCCCCTCTCCAACTCGGGTGAACCCGAACTTGTTTTATAATATATTTGACAAAGATAAAAATAGATGGCTGCAGAGGATATAGATTTTACGTTAGCTACACGTCGGTATAACAGTAGGTTCGATACGTTTTATAAAATAGTATCTCATATTACCAGTAATCTGTTATCTCAGGATTAGTGCCGATGCAATTATTGTTAGGGGTGGAGCAAGGATTGTTTGGGGCGTAGCAAAGATTGTTGGTTGCCTAACAAAGATTGTTAGTGGTGCAGCAAGGATTGTTAGGGTGTATCGAGGATTGTTAGGGGTGGGATCCGGACAAAAGATTGTTATGTGGTGTAGGAAGGCATGTTATGGGTGTAGCGAGGATTGTTAGATGTAGCAAAGATTGTTAGGGGTGTAGCTAGGATTATAAGGGGTGTAAAGGATTATCGCAGAATCTAGCTAGGAGCTGGTTACTCAGTATTAAGGCTGGAAAATATCGCTGGATACTTATTAGTGAAGCTGGATACTAGCAGTTGGAGTTATAGCTAGATCTGGATACTTACAACTGTTGCTGGATACTTAAACATTGCTAAGGTTTCTACAGTCCAGAGACTGCCAGATAGCACTGATAAAAATGTAAACATAAGAAAAGCGAGAAAATTATGCAAATTATTTGCTTTTTAACTTGCGGAATTTCAAATTATGACAACTTGACCAACAAGTCTGGTCCAGTGATTTTTGTACCTTCGACCCCTTTTGTCATATCTCCCTTCATTCTACATCTATACACGTTCTGCCCCCCCCCCCCAAGATGCAATCAGTAGTAGGTAGTTTTTTAACTCTATTTCCAGCTATATTCTAGTTGAGAGATGGGTTAAACAAATAATGCTATGGCTGAAAGTAAAGCCCATTCAACGATCAGCTTCACGACTAGTTAAACTAAGACAATACATGACCAGCCACACACGGACCAAAATAAAATGGTACATCACAGGGCTAACACCATTTTCTCAAACACTGGATGTTAAAAGCCGAATTATATTACCCATTAACCTCACACACATAATCGTAATAGAAATCGTCTGTATCGATACTTTAAAACAATATACTTTATGTTAGTTTGAAGAATGCAGAATCGATATTGTAGAAGGCAGTTATACTATACGAATATGATGGTCTGGCATATGATGGTGCTGGCTAAGCGACAAGTAGGCTACCTCCCCAAAAAAAAAAAAAACAACTCACTCAAGCGGCACAGGTGTTGCCGTGGTCAACACAAAGCCGGCACGTGACCAGCGCGAGCCGTCCACTCAAGCGTCCCCTCCGGGGTTAGCCGTACCACCCCCGTATCACATTGCCACGAAACATACCCCGAGACTATCAAAGAGAAACCCAGGGACCCCATCAGCAACAGCTGATCCTCCGTGGGTCTTTGTTATCCCCGTTAACAAAGCGGGCGCCACTTTCACCTTGGTAGGAAATTTTTTTTTATCCCTCTCTTCCGCACACCTAGAAATGGGACACATGAGAAACTAGGTCAAATCGATAGCGAGACTGCACGCGCCTCGGCTAGGAAAAAAAATTCGAGTTGTCTTCCCTTGAATGACCTCTCTACTACATCTCGCTGTGTGATCTTTGGCTTCACCTTTATGGTATAAAAACCTTTCAGGAAATTTGTATAGAAATGTTATCCCCTCCCCCCCTCCCTTGGTACCCCAAGAATTTGCCATCTGTAGCGTCGGGAGCAGACGGTGTGGCAGGTGGCTGGGTGGAGCGAGCCAGCCGGCGCGTGGCCCCCACACCCCACCCCACGCGACAGTAGACAATATAAAAGACGAGGGGTGGGGAGAGAAAGATAAAAAAACATTGGGCCCCTGAAGAAGGGGGCACGGGGAATACATTTTTAACGGGCGGTGAACCCCACAGGTCAGACAAGTAGTTTCACCTCCAGGTGGGTCGGGTTGTTTTGTACGGGTCAACGGGTCATCCCTAGTGCACATACTAAACAGGAGGCGGCAATTTTCAAACTTTGGATGGGGTGGGGGTGGGGGGGGGGTGGGAAGATACAATTGCAACTAGACAATGAAAGTATTTATTTATAATAAAGTTTATATATATATATATATATATATATATATATATATATATATATATATATATATATAGTGGATTCGCGTATTTCGCCATGCAGTTTCCACTAGAATCAATAATAACTACACCCTTATATTTTAAGAAAAAGGTTTCAGCTAAATCTACCGGACAGTATTAATACAATACTGCATTTTTAAAATCACAAACACCACTCACATTTTCAAATAAATTTACAATTTATTTTTGATAACAAAAATGTGTGCATAGATTCATCTGAAATGAACAAGACAACGTCTATACAGTAACAGCTTTTGGTTAGTGTCTGGTTTGTATGCCCATGTACAACAATGGACTTTTCATTCAGTAACTGATTGTGTGGGCTGAGGTCACAATAGGAAGATGTGTAGCGAAAGTAATGGCTCGATGTACAATAGGCACAGCGCAGGTGTGATGGTCACTATAGCAAGGGGAAATGGGGTCTCAACAATACACAAGTCTAGTATTCATTCATGGTTGCTGTAGGCTTTGTATGGTTAGGTTGTGTTGCATGACTGGTCAGTTTTGTATGATCAGTGTGGTTTATTTTCTAAAAGTCATAGCATACATAATTCTATTAAATTACATAGTTTTGATATAATCTTAAAAAGCATGCATTTCTAATATCAGCAATTAAAAGTATACTTTTATATATAGTCAATTATTAATTTCAAAGTTCATTTATAAAGTATACTTTACTATGGTCAATTATTAAATTATACTTTTCTATGGTAATTTATAAAGTGCACTTTACTATGTTCAATTATAAAGTATACTTTTCTATGGGAGGTTATACTTATAGAGCATATTTTTGCATTCAGCAATAAAATATACCATCCTAAGTCCAGCTAAAAGTCTAGTCTTCTATGTTTGGCGACAAACTACTTATCTACAATGGCAATATTAACACCAAACGACTTCAGTCCTTGAATCAAAGAGCTCAATTAACCCTGTGACTCAACCATTTTAGTCATGTCTATTGAAGCTCAGTAGCAGATACACGAAAGCTACTTGCTTCAAGAACTACAATCACGCTAACAGCGACCTAGACATCACAGAGAAAACCTGCATTGTCCAGTGATCGGTTCATTAAACCAACTAATTTTCAAAAATAATTCCTGTCATGTCCCGGTACTATGAGTGGTTCGTTTTATCATATTGTGAAATAAGTTTCTCAACTGGTAGGCCTACAGTAGGCCAACATGGTCATAACCTCCATATAAGGAGTTGGTCCAGGTGACCTCACCCACCTCCCTGTGTTGTGGTGAGGCACCTTGAGATGCCCGCCAGGAATGTAGCTGTTTTGCGTAAGACAACAATAGGCCATGTTTGCTAACCTCAGGGCGTAAAACTATTAAGATCACCTCCCCTGCATGTTTTAAAAAGCCAGTTACTTCCCTTGATCTAGTTCTTGGAGCTAATAAAATGTCAGCACTATTTGGTTACAGGCATCTCCCATATTTACGGAACAATCTTTTCTATTAGTTAGAACTTGTATTACTTATAATCTATTTAAATGCACTACCATGCATAGTATTTCACCTTGTTAAATAACCATGTTAAATAAATAATTCACTTACAGAAAAAAGAATATAAGATAAATTTAGAATATTGATAGTTGAAGGGAGACAACTTAAAGTTTTTGTTGTAAAATACTGAACTACTTACATTTAGGCTAAAAAATTAACTGGAACACATTAATATAGATTTATATAACTTCTTACATCTAAGTAGTGTTAAAAAATCTATAAACAAAGTTAAAAAAAAAAATCAACATTACAAATACGACCAGAACACTAACAGACTAACAACAAAACAAGACATAAAAATAAAGCAAATGTGTCCCAAAAAGTGGTGTCCTTCACAGGCTGGGCAGCAAAACAACCAGCCTCAAGGCCACTGGATGCTAATCTCGCCAGACCTGCTGTCTGATACAACCTTGAAATAACTATGGCACGAGCTCAATGCTAAATTTTCCCCCGGTCCCAAGTTCTGTGGGGACGCCTCGAAGAATGGGCGTCCGTATATGTTATTTCCAGCGTACACAGCTTTTGGTCCAGACATTTCCAAACGTGGCAGGTTTTGTCAATACGCATGTTGTCAGGACGCAAACAACGGACAAGGCCGTGTTGCAAGTTCAGGCACAGAGAGAATATCCCTCTACACACAAGGCTGAAGGTAAAAAAAAAAAAAACATTCGTCCAGGTTTGTCAATTTACCTGCAACGTGGACCAGGACATATTTTTTTTTTAAATCAGGGCCAGCGATGATCTGCAGTTGACATTTCCTAGCCATGACACAGCCGTACTCTGATGCTGCGTTAAAATACCTCACCTGGTTTTTTCAGAACAGGGTGACCCAGCTTGGGACAAATCGGGTTTTTCCATAATCTTCACAGTAGATGTGGGTGTGACCCAGTGGTTGATAAATCAATAAGAAATAAAGGGGAGGTTACTCCGTTGACAAATCAATACGAAAGAAAGGTTACGACTGAGCAGGGAAGTAAGCAGATGCTAAAGGGGGTTGTGATTTTGGAACAATGAGCTGTTGACTGAGTCTCAGGGCGCCGCCATCTGCATGTCTGCCACCATTCATGTACGGCGCCCCTGAAGATGGGGTAGGCTGACCCGGCGCTGCTGCAGATGGAGCAGAGTTTTGTGACTGGATGACAGTGGATGATGAAAATGGAATAGAGGGCATGCCAACAGGACTCCTAGAGGTGCCATTTTGGTTGAGGATGCCACGAACAGGGATGGCCTCATCTCTTTTCATCAAAAACTTTGGATCCAGTGGGGGGTTCCTAAAATCAAATTTGTAGTCAGTTTTCAAGAGAAAATGACTAGATATGTAGGGATGGTTTAGTTATAGTACTGTATCTTAAGTTTTTCTATTATGAAAAATAAAACCAATTTTTAAATTAGACAACTGGCAGAGGATTACAGCATATTACATTTTTAAAAATAAAATAAATAACTTTAAAAATTTTTTTTAATTAAAAACAAAAATGACCCAAGGGAGGTAATCCAACTTTTTAAATCATTCAGAACAACTATGCTGGTATGGTAATTATTTAAAATCTTTAGCATGGTATTTAGTACAAAACCATTTTTTATGGTAAATATTACCTCACAGTAAACAAAATTAAATGTCACTTATTCATATAGGAATAGCTGCTCAGCAAATATTTAAATTTTTATTTTTAAATATTACCTACTAGTTTACCTATTGAACATTTTATAGTGGCATTTTCTTCAAAATAATACATATTAATTAGGTCTAGGTACAATAATTAGTAATTAGTAATAATACTATTGGAATCAATTAAAAAAATTTTCTTCACAAATAACTGATTAAAATATTAAGTAGAGATAATTTTAAGATCAATATAATCTAAATAACTGCCATTTCACCAGTAAAAGAGCTTAATAATACAAATTTGGAATAATCTAAACAGTAACACTGCTTATTAGATGTGCTTCTGTAGAGTACATCTGATATGTATTTATGTAAAGTATATCTGTTATATATTTCTGTATGGTATTCTTGATATGTATTTAAGTAAGTTTAACTTTAATGTATTTCTATGAGGTATTCCTGATATATATTTATGTCAGGTATATCTGTAATGTTAAAGTAAAAACTTACTTCTCTTTGTTATCCACTTCAGGACTAATCAAATTTTCTTTCTGTGTTGGTGAGCCATTGGTCTGATTTTTTCTGGCCACTGAACTGATGGGGATTTGGCTTTTTACATTCACCTGGCCAGCCTGGTATTCAACCTAGTAAAATAAAAATATTGAGAAAATATGAATTCAGAAGTGTTGACTATAGCCTTCTCAAGTAAAACAAAATAAAAGCTATGAATTTAGTTGTTTAAAATATTATTACTGATTTTAAACAAGTTGAACTAAACTTAAACACAAAAAGGCTAAACAACAAATTTTAGTGTTTGGGAAATTGTTTTGAAACTGTTGCAACAATGTATATACATGCGTGGGATCAGATAATCATATAACTACCTGTGGTTGTCTGCTGGTGGGGGGTGCTGAAGTAACAGGCCGCTGCACCTGTCGTAAACTGTCTTGAGTCATAGCTGAGCCATGGCTTGAGGTGCTGTAGTTGTGCTACAAGATGAAGCAGAAACATTTTCTTCCAATAATTATTTTTGGTAAGTTAACTTGTCTATGACTTGTTGAAACAACTTTATTTTTACCAAAAAATTAATCAAATTCTGGAGTCGATATAATTTTAACATTACTCTAATTTTTATTTCTACAAGGAAATTCAAATATATCAAGTGCTGGCTTAAGCAGAATCCCTAACAATGTATTCCCAGCATATTCATCCACTAGAAAAGGATGTTAAAGCTTACAACAAAAGATAAATAAAAACAGAAGAAGAAAACCAAAGAAAACTTGGAGACATGCAAATCTATATATCTACTCACAATGGCCATTGGTGGCCTTGAATGTGTGGAAGCAGCGAGTTCAAAATGCCCCAAAATATTTTGATTTATCCTTTGTTCATTCAGCTGCTTGTTCAGCCACTTGATCACTGAAAGAGAGGATGTGTGATACAGATTAAGAACTGACTGGTCCTCAGCCCATCAAAGTGAAATATAATTAATCTCAGATACAAAGAGCAGTGAATAGTGTTTAGATTATATTAAAATAAAACAATTTGTTGAAAATTTTTCATAAAAAGAAATGCACAAAAGATTTTTTTTAAAATACTCTAAGAATGTTTACTGCTGTAAATAAATAAAAAAACACAACATAAATTAAATTTTCCAATTAATAATAAAAATTCTGTTACTATTAAAAACAGTTTTGGTGGAGGATTTTTTTTATTTAGCAAGAGAATGCTGTTGGCACTTACTTGTGTCACTAGTTTCTAATGATTGCTTGCTCTCTATCAGTTTTTGTTTTGCCTCATCCATGTCTGAGCTCAACTTCTGATTCTAAAATATGAATTTTATAAAATTTTATATCAGCAAATTAGCAATAAAATAATTACAAGAACACAAGATTTTTATTGCATGATCAAAGTTACTTGAATTTTACCAACAGCTTAACAACTAGAACTAAATTATGTTTTGAAAAACTATTACTAGAAACATTTACATTTTAAAATATTTCATAGTTCTTTTATTTTTTATTCTTTCCAAAACTGAAGAATTATAGTTGTTTAAATTTTTTAATTGTTAGTGATTCTTTAAAAAACAATTGTACCAAAAAAGAGTGATAAGAAAATTGTAATTAACATAAAAAATAACCTTGTCCTCTGTAATTCTCAGTTTATCTTTGGTTGTAGCCAGCTCTTGACGAAGTTTTTCAAGCTCACTATCTTTCTCTCCCAACAATTTTTCCTGCTCTGTAGCTATTTGCGTACGCAGCTTAACCTAAATCATCATAAACAAAGATGATGTACGTAAAAACATAAAAACTCATTAGAACAGAATGGTTTATGGGAAAAATTAAAGAATTTTTAGAAAAAATTTAAAATCTGACCACGTTAAGGAAAGTAAAAGGCTGCTGAACATTAAAAAACTACACCATCCTTTAATATGCTGAGGTCACAGAAACAGATGAACTCTACTACATCTGGGTTACTGACCACCCAAGCCTTAAAGGGTTATCATACCCTACACATGCTGTTTTCCTTAACTGTATCCAAAGATTGATCTTACCTTAGCATGATAAGCCTTGATCTCCCCTTGTAATTTTTTGATGATTTCATTGCCTTTCTTCAACTCATCCCCCATAGCTTTGACTTTAGACTCCAGTTTTGTGTTTTCCTTCAGTCTACTCTCTAGCTCATTCTCTAGATGTTTCTGTATGGGTTACATGGGAAAACAATAACTTACATAGTGAATCATTGTCACTTATCATTGTTACTTATTTGAACAACATTATGATGAAGTTAAAATATACATTTTTTTTTATAAGTCTAAACATTTACTGGGTCTGTTAATCTGCAAAACCGAAAGTCTTGAGTTTGTGTCCCTGATTAGAGTCGCAGCTCGTCTATGAGTCCACCCAACTCTGATAGGTACCTCACTTATAGTACAGGGAAAAAAAAGGCGGCTGGGCATAGTGCTAACAACACTATCCCTTCATATGCTCAGGTAAACTCTACTTCACCTGCCATGAGGGGGGGGGGCACCTTGTCCAAAAGGGAACTTTATTATTATTATTTATTAAAAATTTACTGATTACAATTTCCTTATAAATTTCCACCCTAATTAAGAATAATGATTATTTTTTCTCCAGAAATCTGCACATTACCTTTTTGTCTTTCTCAGAAGTGAGCAAATCATTTAACCTCTCCAAGAGTTCTGCCTTATCTTTCAGTTCTTGTTCCAACACAGCCACCCTTGTCTGCAGCTGGTTGTTGTACTTGTCCTTCTCTAGGCGGGCACTGTCTAGCGAGGTATTGTCTTTCCTCAGGGAAAGCAGCTCTGTCTTCATGCGACCATACTCTTCCTCCAGCGATGAGAGCCTGGACTTGTACTCTCTAATGGCAGATTCTGATTTATATTTCTTGTCTGTCAGATCCTTAAGTTGTCATAAAATTAAAAATTAACATAAATAGATCTGAATGTTAATTTTTAAAAATTGACCAATTATTGTGAATGGAAACAAGTGGTTTTATAATTAATACATTTTTTCCCACCACAAATATGAAAATAACTCATAAATCTGTTAAGAAAAGATGTTATCTGTGGAAATGATAGTCTACTTACTTTATTTAAAGCCTCTAGCTCCTCGAGTCGAGATTCCATCTGCCTAACATGCTTTGAGTTGCCTTGTTCTAGCTCCCTCCGCTCCTTGTCAAACTGAATTTGCAGGTTTGTTTGGAACTGTCGACAAGTTATCAAAATCAATATGAAAAACAAATACCTTTGAATTGAACAAGTGCAAAGTAATTAAATAGTCATTTTTCATTTAATTGGGTTAGCTGACTTATAGATTTAAAAACAAAATGTAAAGTGGAATAAAATTCAAGGTATTTAAAATATTTTGATGACATTAATAATTAATTAATTAAATTGCTGAGTACAAAAACAATGTGACTACCTGAAGGGTTTTCTCTTTTTCCAAAGCCATTTCTTCCTTATGTTTTGACGTAACGTCAGTTATACGGGAGGACCACTCAAGCTTCAGTAATTCCAACTCTTTAGATTTAGATCCCAAAAGCTAGGAAAATAGATTGTGTATCAGGCAAAATGTGTAAAACATCACCATTTTAACATTTGATTCACGGAATATGTTTTACATATAGAAAACAAACTAAATTTTATAATAGACAAATAAGAAAAGGAACCTAGGCAGATATTTAGAAACTCATAGGACTTAGTACCCACCTCTTGTGTTGTCTCTAGTTTTTCACTTAAGTCTCTAGAGGTGTGTTCAAATTTATGTTGAATCAAACTGTATGATTCCTAGTATATACAATAAATAAAAGATTTGATAATGATTTTTTAATTAATAACCTGTTTTCAAGTTACAAAACCAAACTATCTAATTTTCCCAAACTTTCTAAAAAGTAAAATACACATCCTAGCAACTTAATAGCTAAATTGTATTTAAACCTGCTTTCTAGGATCTGACTTGTCTTTTACTTTAATTTACGCTGTATATAAAAAGAATGAAATAATATACTTTTAATTTTTATGCTGACCAGCAACATAGGAAACACAGATATTTTTATGACTTCAAAAAATAATCCAAAAATGTTTAATTTAGCTTACTTTAAGTTGAATTTTTTAAAAATTTACCTTTAATTGCTTTATGCAGCTAGCAAGATGTGACTTTATGTCTGCATCAGAGCCTGGTAGAAATTTGAGGGACAGATGATTCAGATGTCTGAACGGGTTGGTCTCCACAATGTTCATCACACATGGTGCATCCCCGCCTAGCAATGAGCTTCCACCACTTATAAAATGAATAACGAATCTGAAAAACAAGATAATCAATATTTTTACATAATATAAACTGATAAATAATAAAAACGGATTCACATTAAATTCATCAAAATTACCTGCCAGAGAAGTCGTCATCTGTTGAATTTATTATTTATTCCCTCATAGATTTAATAATTATGTTTGATTAATTCAAAAATGTATCTTCATTTATACTGAAAAGCTTTAAATGAGATAGTTAAATTCTGAGACTAAGAAATCTATTTAAATGTATTGCTGTACTTAGGGTTTTCCTTGTGATTTTCCTTGATGCACATCTCAAGTAAGTCAACCAATTTTTGTGGGAAGGAGACAAAGTCAACTAGCAATCCTTGCTGCATCTTTAAACTGAAACACATAAAAATATCATTTTGCAGGGTTTTTTTTCAGGCTCGAAATCTAAACATTTAAAAAATAAACACCTAAAGAACTAAGTATCCAATTATTATTAAATCATTACCTCTGAAAATCTTCCTCAGCTAGACGCAGAGTATACAAGAAGTACAAGTCTTGATCATCTGTGAGTTTTACAAGCAGTTCCTGTACAATATAAATCAGACATCTGTGCTTAATCTATGTATGGGTGAATGGGAGTGTTTGAATTTTTCAGTGGTGTTGTTATTTTCAATATCAGTGTTTTAAATACATGAATATGTGTAAAAAAAATTTAGTCTCAATGTTTAAATATATACTCAATGTAAATTATATATTTACAGGGTTCCTACACCAAAGTCAATTTCAAATTCCAGGAGAATTCCAGGAGTTTTCCAGGAGGAATCAAAAAATTCCAGGACATATAATAATGCATAAAACTATGTAAATTTTTTTTTATAAAATAATAATAATTTATTACAAACTAAAAATATTCAGCGTACTCACCAAATTAAGACAGGAAATACTTGAGAGCTTTTATGCACTGATTTATATACATTTATTTATAGAGTTATTTACATATATACAGACTGAATGTTTGCACATTACAAGCTGCCAATTTATATCACTTTAGATTGTATTTCTAAAGTAATAGCTGCCAGTTGCTCATTCTTGCTTTTGGCAGCCCGACGCATGGCGTTAGACTCAATAAGAAACTTGTGGCTGTTTGTATGTTCAGCCTTTTCAGCCAATTTATCAGCAGATTCAGTCAGGCTGCTAATGTCTTTCTCCAACCTGGCTTTTTTCAATTTCAACCCATCCAGCTCCTGTTGGCTGTCATCCCTCTTTTGTTTATTAGACTTCTGTTTCTCCAGCTCTGCCTTTTCTTCCAAAAACAAACGATATTTCGTCCTGGCACCTGCAGCTGCAATGAGCAGCCCACTACTGATGCTGACAATTGACAATCCCCCTACACTGGCAACATGGTCACAAATCAGTCTCTTGGCCACCACAGTTTTTTCATGCATGTTCACCAGCATGACTTCCTTATTCACGCTGAAGCCTCGCTCCACTGTGGCCTGGCCATGTGACAGCATCAGTAGTGTGCGTGCTAATGACCAGAGCAGAGAATAATCTTCGTTGTGCCCCATATATTGGGAAAAAAAGGTGTCAAGGCGATCGGTGCTGCAGCAAAAGGAGGAAAATATGCTAGAATAGGAAGCACTAATGCTGCACTGCCACTGCAGGAACTGCATCTTAATATTGTCGCAGTGGTCTGGGTTGATCCTACCAATTGAAACCAAGCAGGACATTACATTTTCTAACTGCTTGACACAAGCTTGACAATCATTAACAATACATTTGGGTTGCAGCCAATCCAAATTCTGAACAATCTTGTTCTTAATGGGTGTTTTGTCTATAATCTTTGTCACAACTGCTTTTAAAAAATCCCTGCTTTCCATCTGGAATTGGAAAATATCCATTTGGCTCACTTTAGTTTTAATTTCTTTGACTGCAGCTTTGGATTTGAAACCAATGTCAACATCAGACGGTGGTAAAAGATTTTTTGTTGTTGACATGTCTAAACACAGCAGTGTTGCAACTGATGAGCATTCTTTCTTGAAAACTTCTGGTGCAACAAACCTCTGAAGCAGGGATCGCAAAAGGTTAAAAAGCTCATGTGCCATGAATGGCAGCATGGGGGCATCGCTTTGAAATTTTTTAAGGAATGGCTGCAAAGTCTTGGCAATTGAAATAAAACACTCAATCCTTGCAGTTAAAAAATGGTCATTCAAACAATTCTGCAAAAATTCAAAAGACTTGGTGTTTGGTGCTTTTTTTTCTGCCAAAAGGGATTTTATAAATTGCTTGACGTGTGGCCAAACTTTTAATGCCCTCTCTGCTACCATAACATTCTCCACCCAGCGATGTGGGCAATGATCCAGGGGGAAATCGCTGCTACCAGTGAGTCTCGTGTAGTCTTCACTGCGTGCCGGAGTATCTTTAAACAACCATGAGAGAGAGGAGAAGAAGTGACTTAACTCCCATTTAGATGCCACAAGCCCAGAACGAAAGGCATTGTGTATGGTGTGCAGACCACAACTACCAATGTCGATAAAACCTCTTGCAGAAACATGTTTTAACTCAGCCGAGAGCAGTTTCAGTAAAGCCCAGTTGACATTGGGTCCATCCATGGAGATTTGAACAACTTTGCTCAGGTCAAAGTAAAAAAGACTTGTTATTTTTTGAAACATATCTTGAGCTGTTGCATGTCCCAGGAAGGCAGACCCATAATACCTTGTAATGACCTAAAATGTTAAATACACTATTTTGTTATGCAATTTTTAAAATTAGATCTATATTTTTAAATTGCATTGCAATGTTATGTATAACTATTGATATAAAAAAAATAATTAAAAATAGTTATTTACCTTGTCATCAACCCAATGTCTAACGTGTATGTCCATCTGTTTCTTGCTGAGCTCCCGATTGAGGGCCTCGTCAAACAAAAGGATGAAACCATCATCTAAACTTTTAAGTTTGGCCTTCAGCAACTCATGAAAATATGGCCCAAGTCCAAAAAGACACCATGTATGCCATTTTATCCGGCCCACAGGAAAGCTTCTTAGCAATTTCACTATCCGGAAACATTCGATAAAAATGGCTAGAAATGTCTGCACAGCTGTTAAATGAATAATGCGAACATACTGCTTTTAAGGCCCATAAAATCTCAGCAGACAATGTTTGCTCACTGGTGACATGAGTTTTCATTGTGGTTTGAGCCTGTGGCAACTTCGAAGTTGATGGACCAGGACAGGGTAATGATGACTTTTCAGCTACAGCTGTAACTTCAAGCTGGGATGCTGCGGCTGCCGATGGTGAAGGGGTTACAGTAGGCACAACAGCTTTCTTGAACAGAGAGGCAACAGTCATGCAACCAGAAGACTTATTATCAAGCTGTACATGCTTGCTTGATTTCATATGCGATTTGATTGCTGCCTCTCCCATATTACAAACGTCTATCGATTTGGCACATAACCGACAATATGCCTTGGTTGCTGAGGTTTGTTGTAGCCATGATTTATACAAATCGTTCTCTAACCATGCAGGTTTGAAGTTTGAACGAAGTGGTATATTTCGGCATAATGAAATGTTAAATTGAAATGAAAACACAATAGTTCACAACTGAAATCGAGAAATTTCTCACAGTGACGCAGTAAAAATGAAATAGATCTAGGAATGAACATCCGAAGAATCAAACTCAAGAGCTGACACTTGAATAATCGAAGATCCCGCCAGACGGACCCTTATATAGACCAAGGCTAAATCTAGTTTTAAACCAACATCCGATGTGCGCAGAATTTAAAAAAACGGAAACGGAAACTCTAAGCGGCGGCGTAAACAAAATACCGAAAATGCACGCAAATTCACGAAAAATTTGTTACGCGCGAAAATTCCAGGAGATTTTTCAAAATTTCAGGAGAAATTTTGAATTTCCAGGAGAATTCCAGGACTTTTGGGTTTTTTTCAAATTCCAGGAGAATTCCAGGACATCCTGGAATTTCAGGAGGCCGCGGGAACCCTGTATTTAACTCACCCTCTTGGAATCATGTTTATTGCTTTGCAACCTCATCTGTAGTTGCACAAACACTTTTCTAAAGATTAAAAAAAATAATAATAAATGAGTTAGAAATAAGCTGATTAAACTACAGGGTAAAGCTATGCTGTTAACAGAAAATGTTTAATTGGAACATTGATTTTAAGTAATGTTATTTGGAAGATTTCTTAGATCCCTTTTAATGTTTACTACTGCAGTGTATTGGTAAAAAAAAAACCTCACCTTTCTTCTTTGTCAGAAGCCTTAAAGAGTAGTGGAACTTGTTTAGAGAATATATCCTCCATATTTAACAAATTAGTTTCTAATTGTTAAAAAATCTTTTTGCACTTTACAGCAATGAGCGTGTCTTGTTTTAAATTATAAACATTTTCATGTATTCATACAGTCTCAAGCAGAAAGTATGATAGGCCTGAAAAAAATAAATGTTTGAAAAAGTAAAAAAGTTGTTTTATTTTTTATTACATACACAATGTGACAATATCACTTGAAATTTATAACTAAAGCAATAAAGATAGAATTCGATTGTCCCAATTGAGTATTTAAAACAAAATATAAATATGTCCATAAAGATAACTAGGCCTTTACAGTGTAGGCTAAAAAAATTAAGGCTGTGGCTATTCGTACTTCACTACAAATAGCCCTATGAAGGCTATTCATACTCTCACAAATCAGCGTAGAACTAATTTTTTTAGATCTAACCTTATGATGATCTCTTATTCTTATCACTAACCCAAAACTTTAACTCTAACCCTATCCTAATCCCCATCCTTAATGCCTAAACCTAAACCATAACCCGTCTAAACCTACCGTAATACCTACTCTAAACTTTACCCTAAACCCTAAACCTTAAGTAAAATTTAAATAAACCGGGAGTGATCTCCCCTGCCCCTAAACTTTCTCCAATATTCATAATTTTTTTCTTTTCCAGGATCAAGATGATTGTGTATTAGATAATCTAGTAAGAGTGAGTTAAGTATAGGGTAAAGGAGGGCGTTAAGAGCCACACTTTTTAGCACCTGTACATTTTTAAAGATTTCTACTAATCTAAGAATTTTTTAGTATTGAAAATATGGCAAAATTATTCTAACATATCTTACACAATATAAAAATAATAACAAAGTGTATTAAATATACTTTAAATGGGTTTAATTGAACATTTATTGTCATACCCCCAAAATCAGCATTTGGGGTGAAAGGAGCCAGGCAATGGGGCAATAAGTATTATCTCCTAGTTTAGACTAACTCCGCAATAAAAATAATTAATTTCTATCCCCAAAATAGTTAATGCTGTGTACACACACTTTACCTGATACTAGCTATCACTAGGCCCCAATGGGCCCAGTCTACAATTGATACAATTGCAGGTGTACATAGGGCCTACAGTCTAGTAGTTTACAGTAGGCACATTAGTATGCCTAGTGTGTAGCTAGTATACTAGTGTGTAGCTGTCCAGAGTTAACATTCTTGTATGTAAAAAGGGGTGGTACTAACTAATCTGCCTTAATGCTTTCCCCTGATAAGCCATGTGTGTTATACATTACATAACATGACATGGAGGTGAGAAATGTTGAGGGGAGAGCAGTGGTACTGGTTTCCCCTTTGTTCTCCTTGCTGGACCCTGAGGGCCATAAATTACATAAGATGCTATCTCTGGTTGGCTGAGATCTAAGAACTTAGTCCATGTTACCTACAAAGAGATGAAGTTTTATGGTGGGTTAGATACAGGTGGGGTCTGGCTTTCATAGAGGTGAGAAAATGTGAGGGGAGAGCAGTGGTACTGATTCCTCTTTGGTCTCCACCCTGCTAGACCATGAAGGTCATATATTACATAACATGCCACCCCAGATTGTCTGAGATCTGTAACTGTAATCCATGTTACCTACAAAGAGATGAAGTTTTATAGTGGGCCAGAAACTGGTGGGGGCTGGGTATCATGGGGGTAAAAAATTGTAAGGGGGGAGCAGTGGTATTAGTGTGTCTGTTTACTTCCCTGCTGGACCATGAGGGTCATAAATTACATAACATACCACCCCAGATTGGCTGAGCCCTAAGAGCATTTATTCCTGTTACCTACAAAGAGATTAGAAGTTTTATGGTTGGTTAGAAACAGGTGGGGGCTGAGTCGGCTGTATTGCCCCTTAGGGGTAATAAGAACGTGTACCATTTTAAAAATTACCTTGCTAACATCAAATGGCTGAATTTTTACTTTTTAGCAGGTTAGAATTGTATTTCTATCATTTAGACACAAGTCTGTTTAACAATTAATACATTTTGTGTTAACTATTCCTATACCAGTGTCATATTCAGTGGTCTAAAAAATGAGAAACTTGCACATAGGGTTTCAAGAGCCACATAACAGTATCTGTTATAACTTTTCTAAACAGGAAAGCTAGTGAACAAAATTAATGTATTCATGAAGATTTAGTTATTATCTAACAAATAAAACCATTATGGTAATGATCAGTCAAGTTTTACTCTGATAATGATAAAAACTTTACAGCATGGTAAAATGGGACAAATGTCGGCCATTTTGTTTTGGCACCAATAATCACTGTGCAAAATAAATTCACCAAAATAAAACTATTCTAGCCATAGCTATAAAAATAGTGTTAAAATGTATAACAACCAATGCACTAATACAGGAACAAAGAATGGGCCTGAAAAACTCATTTGGTTTATTACAAAGTGAAGTTCCCAAGTTATGTCTATTTGGAAAAAAAGTTCACAAAATGGTTTTATGGAGATGAGAAATTTTAGGGAAAGAGCAGTGGGATTAAATCCTGTCTCATCCTCTCCCTGTTGGGCCAAGTGGGTGATAAATTACATAAAATGAATCCTCTGCTTCTCTGTTATCAAAGAACAGCAGTGGTTGTTACCTCAAAAGTAGATTAGCAGTGTTATTGGCCCATGGGGGTTTTGTGGGGTGTGGGGAAATTGCGAGACGCGAAAAGCGAAATGGCGAGGCGGGAAAATGCGAGAAGGTATTGCGAGACATACCTGCGGAATTAAGGGTAAATAGCGAGACACTTTTTGCGAAAAAAGTTTTTTTCTTTTTTTTCCATCTTTATTTATTTAAATTCATTTTTTTTTGTTTTAAAACAAACAAGCATTTAGCCATACACTTTAACACGAGTGTTGTATGTTGTTATTTTTTATCTAGATACTAAGAAGATAGATAGATCTATATCTAGATCTATCTATTTAAAAATCCTAACATCGTTGCTGTGCTACTGTCATCGCCCGATCTTGTTAGCGAGAGGAAAATCCCGTCTCAGTCGGCATTAATTTAAAAATCTAGCCCGCTCATGTTTATACATGTTAATAGTGTGACTTCACATCTAACCCCCCCCCCCCTCCTCCCCCTTATCTCACATCGTCATAAAATTACAGACCCCCCCCCCCCCCCACGAGTGTGACGTCATTTATGGAAGACCCCAAATAACACCACCACCAAAACCAAAAAAATCAGATAAGTTCAACTTGGTTTTAAAAATATTTGAAGTAGGCCCATAGCTTACGATATAGCACGAGCAACTGATAATATCGGTGACGTCACTTTATTTTTTCCCCAAACAGTAAGTAAGAGAAAAAAAAAACTGGGGGCATTGAGAGTTCATAACAGCTTAGGAATAAGCAACACATAAGGGAGGGTTAATCTAGTCCTCACCTTCACTTATGGCAGTAATCGCATACTTATTTTGATGTTATTTTTTTCTGAATTATTTATGGAAAAGTCACAACCGTGATATAAAATCTAATATAAATTAGTGTAAAGGAACATTGGAAGAGAAAACACACAGTAAGTAGTTCTTACCTCCAGAATAGTTGTATCCAAATGATGTAGGCATTTCCTTGTGCTTAGATTTATATGGTAAAAAACCGGGAGTAATCTCCCCTAAACTTTCTCGAATATTCTTATATAAAATAACAGGGGATGGGAACTCGGGCTATAGACATGATTTTTAATCCATTTTAAATACTTTAAGTTTTAAAAATAGAATAAAATCTCGTAGACAAATTAATTGCACACCAAGTGAACGCCAAATAAAAAAGCGCATAATGGTGCGCAATAGAGTCCTTGCAAACACGTGACCTAAATCACGTGATACCTACGCCCGCCGCCACAGTGGTGTACATCAGACGTAAACACAATCAGCTGTTCGCCAGCGCTGGACGTGTTCACCGTATGTAAAGAATCGCGCCCGCGGAAAAGGAAAAATATGTTAAAAAACTTGAACTCTTAGGAATTGAAGATCCTTATACAGTTATTGACAGTTTCGTGGATAATATAAATATGTGGCCGAAATTTCTAAATAAAAATACTGTTAGTAATACCGTTTGCGTTTAGAGTTTAAGTAGACGAAGCTGATCAAATGCAGTAATATATTAGAGGTTATCTACTGTAGCAAACGTGAGACCACTTAACTCCTACAAAACCCACACTACAACGGCTAATATAATCCATGGGTAATAACCAATCTGGGTAGCATGTTATACAATTTAAGACCCTTAAAATCCACATTAATACTGACGTTCAACCCTCATAATGGCTGCCCCCACCTGTATCTAGCCCACAATAAAACCAAAGAGGAGTCTGCCCTGCCCTCCCCTGAAAATGTCTCACCTCCGTGATACCCAGCCCCACAGAGATAGTATTTCTTATATAATTTTGACCCTCAGGGCCCAGCAGGGAGAACAAAGGGGAAAGTCCCACTGCTCTCCCCTCAACACTTCTCACCTCGGTGTCATGTTATGTCATTTATAGCACACGGCTTATCAGGGGAAAGCATTAAGGCATTAAGAATCTTAACTCTGGACAGCTACACACTAGTATACTAGCTACACACTAGGTGCCTACTGTAAACTACTAGACTGTAGACCCTATGTAGACCTGCAATTGTATCAATTGTAGACTGGGTCCATTGTTATTATTCTAAACCATCTCACTTATAATGTTTCTGGCTTGATTTGTTTCTTTTATAAACAGTGGATTAAAAAAAAAATAGCCTAATCATTAACCAAATAATAATAATGTGGTTATTTGTTGTTGGCTGGTATGATCTAGATTGTACTACTAGGCTACAAAAACTTAGTAGACCAATTACTAGATATGAATTTGAATTTAATTAAACTCAGTCCAGTATCAGATACAATCCATATTGCTGTAAAAAGACAACAAAGTAGGTAGGCCTTAGTAATTTATTAAAGCCTTCTACTACAATAATATCAACTACATGCTTGTATAAAGTTTTACAATTTAATTTAAGTAGCAGATTCTAGATCTAAGTCTAGTTATATAATCTATTTCAATTTCAGAAAATTTCGTTTGCTAAAAAAATGATTAGATAATAGAGCGAGATTTTAGATCTTAGAGACAATTAAATGCTTTATTAGGCCAATTATGACTACTTTTGATTTATTATGGGTGTATTTTGAATCGAATGTAGATCTAAAGTAATTAAATTTAAGTAAAGAAGTAGATTCTAGATTCTATGTCCACCCAGCGGAGCCAGGTATTAGGCCTACTATTAGATCTTATTATTCTTATTAGCCTATTACTTTTGACTTTGTCTTTTACTATTAGTATTTGTGAAGGTCGAGCATATTTGTTTTATTAATAGTTATCTTTTATAACTAAAATGAAGTTTATTATTTTACTGTCCTTACATGAAACAAAGTATCGAGAACTGCATTTGATCATATTCGGCTACTTTAACTCTAAACGCAAACAGTATTACTAACAGTATTTTTATTTAGAAATTTTGTCCACATATTTATTTATACGAAACTGTCAATAACAGTATAAGGATCTTCAATTCCTAAGAGTTCAAGTTTTTTAACGTATTTTTCCTTTTCCGCGGGTGCGGTTCTTTACATACAGTGAACGCGTCCAGCGCTGGTGAACACGTCCAGCGCTGGCGAACAGCTGATTGTGTTTACGTCTGATGTACACCACTGTGGCGGCGGGCGTAGGTATCACGAACGGACGTGACGTCATATGAAAGGACTCTATATTATTAGAACTTTTAAAATTTACATTAGTTTTTTGAGAAATCGGAAGTAGCGTAAATTACTACTTCCAGTCAACGGAAATTACTCAAAATTTAACAGAAGGTAGAGAATTAGATCGTTTACTTACATGTGAAATTTCATTTATCTATCTGAAATAGTACTCAAGTTATAGGCTTTTGAAAAATTCAAAGTAGGAAAAGTACCACTTCCGGTTATCGGAAATCGCTCAAAAGTTGATACGGATCTACGATTTCGATAAAATACTTATATATGAAATTTCATCAACGTAGCTGTAACGGTACTCAAGTTATCGTGTTTACACACGGACAGACAGACACACAGACACACAGACAGACACACAGACATACGGACAAGATTGCAAAATTATGTTTTTCCGTATCAGTGAGGTGTGAAACGTCGAGATTTGTAAAAATCTCGATTTTTTTTTTTTGCACGATTACAAGACTTTCTCTATACTTCGTATATACGAGAAAGTAAAAAAAGCTAGAAAAAAATCGTAGGCGGCGGCTATAATACAAAATTTCTATGCAACAATAGAAAATATGTTTGCGGCGGCAGCGGATCAGGGCACGGCGATCTTCAAAGACGGTAAATCAGGCGTCCTCGGCGTTCCACACAAAAGACAGAAGTTGATCTATCGTCGGCGGTATTTCCGTCGGTTTCGAACAAGGTGGTATTCTAAGTCGACACAAAAGATGGGGGGAGTTGACAAATCATCAGTATGTCTAGCGACGGAAAAATCGGAAGTTTTAACAATGTCAACGAAACGTCTTTGAAGTCTGGACCAAATACCACTGAAAATCGGGTGCGGTAAAATTTTCGCAGAAATCTTCGCATTTCAACACCACCCAGCGTAAGTATCGGCTTGTGGTAAAATGCGAGACAAAAAAGTCACCTGATCGACCGTTTTCGCGCCCTTCTCGCATTTTCCCACCTCGCCATTTCGCTTTTCGCGTCTCGCAATTTCCCCACACCCGGTTTTGTGGGGGTGGGGTGTTGATTGGGGCTTAATACCACACGGCTCTTAACGCCCTCCTTAACCCTAATAAGTAAGGAGTAGGCCTGCCCTTTTTAAAGACTTAGACTGATAGTGATAAGACTGGAGTAAGGCTGACTGACGCTGAGCGAGTTTAGTTTTGGCTAGTCTAGTAAAAAAAGTAGTAGATTAGTTAGAGACTAGTTAGTAGGGAGGCTCACTAACTTAAAAGCGTCCTTGGTTGCTAACCAGAACATGGCGTAAGGATCGGACCATGACTTCCGGCGAGTTTTTCGACTTAGTTCCAGAGACCTTCTTAGAATTACTTTTAAAAATGTTTATCATGAGTAAAATGGCGGGTTTTCACGTTATAAAAACATGCTATAGGTGGCAAGGCTAAATATGCCAGAAAAGCATTTTCAAAAATTGCTTTGGGGGATGTTGGCTAAATTTAAAGTCGGTGTCATTCAAAATAATATAACTTTTTAAATATAGATTTCCATATCACAAAATTGATTTCCACAGTAAAGCATTATTAGTTTTATCATTCTATGAAAAAATAAATCAAATATCTTCAACCGTTTTTTTATAAGATCGACCGAGAAATGACAACCAAATTTTTTTTATTTTTTTTGACCACGTGACCGCTATTTGAATGGATACGTTTACCTGGCATGGTTTTTTTTTTTGCTCTTTTGTACAATAAAAAATGTCATAAAATTAAAGAAATAAAAGAATTCAAAAATCACTTCTGTCTTGTCTTTTTTTTAATTCTTTTCTGATGACATTCTCTTAAATTTTTTTCCTCTAAAAATATTACCCGACGATAGACGGGCCAATTCTACTTTTAGGAACTCTCTTGTGAAAAAAAATTAGATCTATTTCACGGTCACTTAAAAAGTTAAACCTTTCAACTTTTAACCAGGTTGTCATGGATGATCCGTCATATCATAGCTGTGAGTGACAAATAAATTTAAAATTCAATAATTTAGTCTAAACTCGCTACAACCCCCAAATTTAGTGCCTAGAGGATAAAGTATGGACGTTTTTTATTCAGTTGTCATGTTTAAATTGAGAATTAAGTAGATTTCACAAATAGTAAGAAAAACTACTAGTTAGAGAGAGAGAGAGCAGTAGCAGCAGCAAGCCAGCTTGCAGCAATGGCTTACAAACAACTCGGAAAAATATAACTGAACCTAAACAAACATAACCATAAGTATTCATAAGGTTAAGGAATAAGAATACAGAAAGTAACATACAATTAAACGCCAATTTAGCTCAAATTATTTAGTAGTATTCAAAAACTTCAAAGAAACTATGGAAACGATTTGGGATTGGAATTTGTTTTGAGATACCCGCTTCCGGAATGTGAAAATTTGTTTTTTTGCATTTGAACGACATTTTATATTAAGTGATTCATCTTTGGACGTTAAACGTAAATCTATTTCAGCTTTTCTAAAAACATACTTGTAAATTAGCTGAATTTTATTTTCTCAACAGTATTAAATATTTATTTATAATATTAACATACATGTTATAATCAGAATTCAAGAATTACAACTGGCAATTCAAACTACACTACTTGAACTTTGGTACTGGTGAGCTCTAATGAAAATTGTTTTGTAAACAAAGTATTGAAGTAATAGTAAGTTAAACAAGTGAATTAAGTGCCGATTCTTCTCCTACTTAGATCTAGATCTAGATCTAGATCTAGATTCTAGATCTTAAAGTATAAATGAATTTTGTCTGTCTCAGTTTGTTCAGTACTCTGTTTTATGCATTACTAGATCTAGATCTAGATCTAGACCTAGATCTAGATTACACAGTAATTACACCTTTTTCATTTGATCGCCATGAAACTTTGGTTGGAAAGCTGAGAATAGATCGGCAGCGAGAATACTCAGACCAGAGATTATGAGAATAATGAATAATTGAATAATACTTCAAACTTCAATGAATAGTACCAATAATACTCGGAGTATTGTTAATTAATTAATTAAATTTAATTGTTATTACAGTAGGCCTACAGTTAAGTACACTGTGTACACAGTATTACTAATTTTAAATTTATACTAGTCTTGAGACTTGAGGAGATATCTGCAATTTAGTGCAATAAAACTTTTTTTTCCGGATGGGTTGCTGCGTCTCGGCAGAGTTCCCTAGTGGCTATTTTTTAGTTTTTCTTACTAAATCTAAAATTTACGCAATTTTCAATATAAACATGACCACTGAATAATAGACATCCATATTTAATCCATTAGGCACTAATTTTGAAGTTTTTAGTTCATTTTAAACTAAATTACTTAATTTAATATTTATTGACACTCACTGCCATGGCCAACACATCTCTCCATGACAACTCTTCTAACCCTTTGATGCTAAAGAAAACCACAAATCAGGTTAGACTTTTGAAGTGGCCATGCACCCAGAGTTCATCACTAGTGATCTCAAATAGAGGTCACGTGGTTTTTAAAAAATAAAAATAAATTGGTTGTGATATGAGAGCCGATCTTATAAAAAAAGTGCCGACAATATTTGCTTTCTTTTTACATAGACTGATAGACTTAATAATGCTTTACTTATATGATCATTTTTGTACCTACATAGTTGATATTTTTCAAATTCTATTCTTTTTAATGAAACCAACTTATGAATTTAGCCTCCGTTCTCCAAACCAAATTTTAAAATGCTTTTCTGGCATATCTAACCCTGCCACCTATTGTTTGTTGTTATGACACGGAAATCCCGCCATTTTGCGCGTGGTAAACATTTTTAAATTTAATTAGTAGAAGGTCTCTGGAATTTGGCCAAAAAATCGCCGGAAGTCATGCGTCCGGTCCGGACGCCATATTGTTGTTAGCAACCGACCACGCCTCCAAGTTAGCGAGTAATACTACATTTTTATATCTGCTAATTGCTCACCCTGCACAGGAGGTCAAGAGTACTACTATAGATCTACTACTTGATTCAATGGCCAAACTGCACCATGTGCATCTGGTGCCCTGGCTGTTCTGGTGCGCCCCGGGATCCGCCATGAGGACAATGACGAGAACAGTCGTTTAAAATAGCGCCATACACTATGGATATGGTGGGCAGTTAAAATCTGTGACTAAACCAAACCAGGGCAGTCACTAGGCACTCCAGCAGTAGAGCACAGATGGGCACCCCCAGTTTCCCAGTGGCTACCTGAGCACATGGGGTCCGTTGATTGGGCGTCCTGAACAGGGTTTCAGGGGTACTACTACCTGTAACAAATTGATATTCATTGTTAACATTAAACTTGAGAGTTACTTTTCATTGTAAAGCATACATTTTAGATTGTTTACAGCTTACAGGCTTCAAGAAATAAACATCATTAATTACAGTGCTTTGTTATTGTTAGGGTATTTATGTTTTTTGTGATGTTAACAAATTGAATATTTGATTTAATATTTTTAGTTAGGAAAACATGCTCCCTCCATCCACAATCAAAGATGCAGCTGTGTTCATTTATGGCCACCCAAGATCAAGGGCAGTTCTGCTGTCATTGCTTGGAAGTTTGATGTTAAGCAAAGTTTTGTGCCAATGCTGGAGGTACTACTCAAATAAGAACAAACTTAAGTCTAAACAAGCTGAGTTATCAAAGAAAAGAGCAGTAGTTGAGGCCCAACTACTGAATAAGGTAACTGTCTCTTTAACTTTTAATGTGTTTTACCTCTACTTTACTTGTTAACTGCTGCCTGATTGTATTTGTAACCCTGACGCAAAAAAAAATACATTGGTTGTTTAAATAATCCAAAGTTATAATAAACTTGTTAATGTTTGCTAAATATTATTAGGATGTCCAATTCTATGAAGAGATATTGAGTAAAACTGCGCCTGAGTTGGTTGAAGCCTTAAAGAATGGAGACATGTTCGCTGTTGATGTCCTCCGTGCCTACCAGTGCAAGGTAGTTTTAGGTTTAAACAGTTTAAAAGATAAACACGATCATAATTAAATAAAATAGTAAAGCCTTTCACTCTATAAATTCATGCTTGCTGATTTGAAAGTCACGAATGACCTGTTTAAAAACTACTGGAGACTTCATTATCTTGCCTGGCTTAAATTGATCAAGTGAGTTATTCCTCTTTAAAGATAGAAGAGAATATTTTTCTTAAATCCTACCTCATAAATTAAACAACTTTATTGTTGATTATGTTTGGTTTTTTCTGTTAATAATTATTTGTAAAATATCAAGAAGGACTATTAAATACATTTTTGAAAATAAATTTTATTGTTGAGATTTATCAAAATTTTTTTAAAATTCTGTGTTTGTTAATTTTTATCTTTTGTTATTAAAAAAATATTTTCAGGCATTGGAGCTAACTGACAGCATTAACTGTGTTGCAGAATTTATAACAGAAGCTGAGGTATCTTTTTCTTCAGTTTTGAAATCTATTGACATTACTCTAAAAAAAAAAACTAATTACACATATTGAATAATGATATTTAGTTTCACTGTGTTAAGGTTTAAACTAAAGAAATCTGGTGAGATTTTTATAAACTTATCACTTATATTTTTAGGAAAATGCAAAAGCTCTGGATGCTTTACCTGATAAAAAGGGTTTGTTGTATGGAGTGCCAGTCAGCATCAAGGAGAATATTAACATAGCTGTGAGTAACTTCATGAAAGTATTTGTTTCATAATGCAAAAACCTTTAGCTTCCACTGATCAATTTGCTGAAGTGTTTTATGGAAGCTATATGTTTTCAATAAAACAGTGTAATATATTTTATTTTCAAGTTTTTGAACTAAAGCAATTAACTCTTTCCAAAATTTGTAATAATATTAATGGAAATAGAGATAGGATTTTTCTAGGTTGCATAAAATTGACAGAAAATCTTTCATTAGTGCCTGATTTTTTAAAAATCTGATTTTTAAAGCGGGTTTAACTTTGAATAAGTAGTTGAAAGCCACTGTTATACTTGAAAAAAAAAACAACGAAATTATATAAAATAATGGGGATTGGTGTGGTCAAGTTGGTAAAGCTCATGGTTGCTAAACCAAAAAGTCTCTAGTTTGAACACCAGGGCAGATGAGGCTCGATAGCTGGGGACAGCAACTCTTCTAGTAGAGACAATTCAAAAATCAAGCAACTGCTGCCTTGTAGTTTGTTCTTGGTTCGACAAAAACTACGGAAGCAAATCCAAAAAGAAAAGCAGGCTGAAATCTGAAGCAATAGCGCATAACAAGCTGACACATAATACTTAATTAAGAAGAAATAAATAATTCATTCCTTTGAAATGTGAGTCAACTTCCTTTTTTACCCAGGGTTATGAATCCACAGGGGGAGTTGAGTGTTTGATTGGCAGTGTTGCCAAAGAAGATGCAGTTATTGTTAAGGTACACAGTTTTTTCTCATCCTGTTTCCTTTTAGTTTGATTTTTATACACAATTTTCTCTCATCCTAGATGTTATTCTTTTAGTTTGATTTTTTATACACAATTTTCTCTCATTCCAGATGTAATTCTTTTAGTTTGATTTTGATTCATATGTTTTTTAGTTACATTTTTATTGTTATCATTGAATAATGTCTACTTTATTGTGTTTAGCTGTTGAGGAAGCATGGTGCAATACCCTTTGCAAGAACTAACCTTCCACAGACAATGTTAAGGTCAGCTTCTTTCTTAATCTTCAGTTGATTGGTCATCAATCTTTAATAGTTTGATGCTATTAAAACAAAGCTTCTGAGATATTTAAAAAATTGATTTGTTTTTAATATAAGATTTATATTTTTCATCTTTAATTTATTTTTTTCCTACTTTATAAAATTATGTAACATTAAGCAATACATATGATTTGGAATTTTGTTTTCAAAATTACTTGCTTCAATTAATATATACTCTTTTATCCTATTTTATAAAAACAATATAAAATTAGTGTAATACATCTAGAAAAATGGAAGAAGTCCGAATTAAATCAACATATTACTTTTTTCCCACTTGCAGCTACAGTTGCACAAATTATATTTATGGAGAAACCACTAACCCCCAAGACAAAACTCGAAGTCCCGGTGGATCATCTGGTGGCGAAGCAGCAATGCTTGGGGGAGGGGGATCTGTCATTGGAGTTGGTACTGATCTTGGTGGGAGTGTCAGAATTCCAGCTGATTTCTGTGGAGTTTACTCCCTTAAGCTCACTAGAGGGCGCATCCAGTAAGTAGCATATGTTAAGAAACAATATATATTTTATTGTAGCTTGCTATAATAATTTGGTGTATGTGACAAAATAAATTACTATTTTCACTGATAACAGTAAATGATAGATTTGAAATAAGTAAATTATAAAAAAATTATCATAATTGTTTACATTTATAAAAATAATAATAAAAAAAAAATAATAAAAAAATATTTTCTTCTCAGAGGAAAAGGAGTGTTAACATTTACAAAAGGAAATTTAGGAAGTGAGTTAATTATAATTTAAACTGGAAGTTCAGTGGATACATTTGAATAATAGTTATCATTTATAAGCTTTTAAGCTATGTAAGGTAAAAGTGATATACTAGAGTTCAATAAGGAGAAGGTTTATGAAGGATAAAGTAGACAGCACAATTATGATCAAGACATGCTTTACTTAATCAATTCAAGACTGCTAAACTGTTTTACAATTCTACTATTGTTTAATTTTTCATCATCAGCCACCCTGTGATGTTCTTATTTATCTATTTTTTAGTCCTAGGTGTTTTAGGGCCCATGGCCAGGGACTTTGACTCCCTTTTATTACTAAGCCAGGCTTTACTTTCACCAGAGATGATTGAATTAGACAGGTCACTGCCCAACTTGCCCTTTGACCCCCAGGTAAAAGGTTAACCAACTTACATTTTTATTGTACATAAATACTTCACATAATGCATAGTTTTCTTCAAACTATTTTCAATACTAAACAAAACACTAACAGTAAAAAAATTCTGTCTGTCTCATTAATATTTGCAGTTTATCTATACTTAGTGTTTCCTATAAGGTGTATGAAAAGAAAACACCACTGCGTATTGGCTACTACACATTTGATGGCGTGCTACAGTGTCAGCCCCCTGTGGTAAGGGCTGTGATGGAGGCCAAGGCTGCACTAGAGAGCATGGGCCATCAGGTAAATTTACATTTTATTTATACCATTCAAATATTTGTAAATGTAAAAAAAATTTTTTACTCGCTTAAATAGATTAAATAGACTTAAATAGACCCGAAAGTCTCTAGTTCGAATCCGGGTTCAGATCAGTAGAACATCCAGCTCTGATGGGTACCTAACTCATATTAGGGAAGTTAAAGACGGCTGGACATAGTGCTGAACACACTATCCCTTCTTCAGCTTAAACAATTATTGAATGGAGCCTTTGAATAATTTTTGTTATAAAGTAGAATGCTGAAGAAAACATTTTTTTTTTGTATACATAGTTGGTGCCATTTGATTTTCCTGCCAAACTAGGAGGTGGTTTCCAGTCGGGGGAATTGTTCCTTCATGTTTTAATGGCAGAGAGGGGTGAAGTTCTCAGGAATTTGTTGTAAGTTGTGTTTTAGTTCATCTAAGATGTAGGAACAGGTGTGTTTATTAGTAAGTTCATCTAACTTGTAGGAACAGTTGTGTTGGTTACATAGTGCTTAGTAAGATTATTTAACAGCAACTCATGTTTAAGTGAAGGGGAAGTCATGGTCAGATAGTAGAGCATATGACAGCTAACCAAAAAGTCTTGAGTTTAAATTCCAGGTTCAAGCACGTAGAACATCTCTGAGTCCACCCTGCTGTGATGGGTACCTGACTCAGGTTAGGGAAAGTAAAGGTGTCAGAGCATAGTGTTGACCACACTATCTCTTCTTATGCTGAGATAATTGAAACAGGTGAACTCAACTTCACCTGCTCATGTAGTTTCCATTTCCAAAGACAAAGAGTACTTTACTATCACTTTATGTTTAAATGTGAGTTAACTTTATTTTATTTTAGAAAGAGTACTAAAGAGGAATAACGCCAAGCAGCAAAACTATTAGTACCCTTATTTTCAAGCTAGTAAACATGTAACAATACATCTTATTCATGCCTAAACATTTGGTATATAGTTAATTGAAGCTTTGACAGATAGTGATTGCAAGTAATTTTTATTATTGATGTTTATCCTGTATGGAGAAAGAAGATTCTCAAAGGTTTTCGGCAATTGTAGTACTATACTAATTTTCTAGTGATGAATTAAATTTTAAAATATTAGATAATTTAAAATGTTTTGGTTGATGTTTTTTCTTAAATCAACAGAAAAAATCAAAAAGTTACTCCCTCTTTGAAGCTTTTTCTAACACTAGGTGGACTGCCAGTTTGGTTTGTTAAAACACTGCAGTTCATTGTTGGCCTGAAGGTAAGTTTATCAACACTCACTGATTTCTACATTCCTCAAAGTAGTCTAATCAACATTAAATTAGTAATAAAGCAGACAGTGTTAGTTACCTCACAAAACAGGTACAAATACTATGGACGTTTCGACCCAAGGTCCATTGTATTTGTACCTGTCTTTAATTAGTGAGGTAACTTCACTATCTGTGTTATTACTAATTGAATTAACCTCACTGCATTTACCATTTGTATTTATCAACATTTACAAAACTGCCAGTTCTATTTAAAATAATTATTTCCGCAACAACATATATTTTTAAGGTTGTTGATAGAGCACACGATGACTAAACCAAATATTTTAAGTTTGGTACCCATGTTTCAACGTGTAACTATATTTAGTCTTATTTTGGAAAAAACTTTACCTCCAATAAAACTCAATTATTTTTTCTAAACGAACATAATGATTGCAGTTGTAGAATTTCATTTTTTTTTGTAATAATATAGGACCAGTTCAGTGCATCTACAATAGGAGGAACAACTGGATTCAAGTAAGTCCGCTTTTTGTTTATATTTTAAACCCACGGTATAACTTTTAAAGCATGTAAATAAATGTATAGCCTCACAAAAATGTACGTGTATGAATATTCACAGATCATTGGCAGACTACTTCCAGCATATTACAAAACTTACGGTATGCCATTCTTGTATTTTGATAAAAATTAATTCTTGATTAATTCGTTAATTAATGTTGCTCATTTTGCTGATTATAATAATTGCAAACTTCTTAAAAATGTAATGTTTGAAGCATCATTTTCGCAACACTAACAACTAAGCTTGTGGTTTTGTAATGATACCTTTTTTTTTTTTGAGATAAGAGGAAATAACCTGACTTGTTGGATAGAGTGATGATACTATTTGTATAATTAACTAGAATACCCGTCATCCGTTGGATAACTGTGGGTTTCGTGGGTCATCCATCAAAAAACATCACGTCTGTCACTCAGAGGCATAGCGAGCCTTCCCGGCGCCCGGGGACAAACTTTTCGATTTTAACCCCCCCCCCCCCCCCAAGATTTCGATTTTCAACCCCCCCCCCTCAAACTTTTGATGTACACCCCACCCACCCCCCCCACTCAAACTTTCGATTTGAACCCCCCTCAACCTTTCAATTTATTTTTACAAACCATTTTGGCGCCCCAACATATGTCCCCCCGAAAAAAGACAGTTTAAAATTGATATAAGTGTTGGAACGTAATAAATACAGCAAACGGACGTATTGTTAAAGTTATGACCGACAGAAAATTAGATTTAGAACGCGTTAAACTTTTGAATGGGAACACAATTTTCTTCGATAGACGCCGCCATTTTATTGTACTAAAGAGTAAACAAAAAACTGTGACGTCACGGTCCCGCCGAGTGTAGTGGTCGTTCTAAACTTTTTTAAAAAAATGGGTTACTCTGCGTATGAATAAATCAATAAATTAATTAACGTCTTTAAATAAATGTGTGATTAACAGTCTGTCTTAAAACAAAAAATTTTCTCTACCTACATACTATTTTACAGCTTTCCACGATGAGTGCAATCATGCGAGATAGTCAATCAGGCAAACAAACAAAGAAACAAACAAAAAAACAAATAAATATTCAAACATGTAAACAAACTTGACTTTTAGTAGTATTAAGATTGTATATGGAGTTAAATGGTCTCAAATGAGATGGTGTGGCCTGGAGGTAGCACTCTCTGCTGTTAACCCAAAATACTTGAGTTTGAAGGACATTTGAGAAATAAATAACAAATAAATATCTTTGAAAGAAAATACATTAATTGCCTACATTAAAGGTAGATCTTGAGGTAAACATTAGCAGTTGAATTAAAGTGTGTATTTTTAATGTACAGATCTGGCAGGAGGATTTCATGAAGGTGTGGGTTGATGAGAAGCTGGATGCTGTTATATGTCCAGTCTACCCTAGTCCGGCTGTGTCCAGAGACAAGGCTCACCAAGTTACACGTGAGTCACATTTTGACATGATCATACAACTTTTACCTTTTTTTCATACAATTGTCATATTTTATTTAAAATATATAAATGTCACATTTTTACTTAACCCTGAAAGCGGGCCAAGCCCCTATAGTGGCTTTGCTGTTACATAACTTACAACGCGTAAGGCCATGTGTCGCGCGCTTTAAGAGTTAATCATATAATAATTGTCACACTTTTTTTTTACTTATTCTTAAAATTGTCATTTTTTTCTTTATCATACAATTGTCACATTTTTTCTTTAACCACACAACTCACATTTTTACTTTATCATACAGTTGTCCTGTTTTTATTACTTCATCATACATCTGACACATTTGTGTACGTTATAACACAACTGTCACAATTCACTTTAAATATACAACTGTCATATATTTACTTAATCAAATAGTTATCACATTTTTTTTTACTTTATCTTAAAATTGTCATTTTTACTTTATCATACCATTGTCACATTTTTACTTTAAACATACAACTCACATTTGTACTTTATCATACAATTGTCCTGTTTTTATTACTTCATCATACAATTGACACATTTTTGTACTTACAATAGAATTGTCACAATTCACTTTAAATATACATATCTTATATTTACCTTATCATATAGTTATCACATTTTTTTTACTTAATCTAAAAATTGTCATTATTTACTTTATCTTACAATGGTCACATTTTTAATTTATCAAAGATGTTAAAACAAAAACTAAATAGAAAAGTTAAATAATACTAACTGTAAAACATTTCTTATTAATATTTTTTTTTTTTATTTTTTTTTAAATATTTAACAAGCATGTAAATTCTTAAATTTTTAATATGATCTAACTGTTATTTATGATTGTAATAATTTTTTTTTAAATTGCAACATCTGTCTCTGCTGTTTCATCTAGCATGTGGCATATACTGTCAAATGTACAATGCTTTGAACTACCCTGCTGGAGTAATACCTGTCACCAAAGTGACACAAGATGATGTAAACAAAACCTTTGACCCCAAGTTTTTTACTCCTAAATGTTACATGGAAAAAATTCTACAAAAAGTAAGTCAAATACATTACTTTCTGATAAGTGCATGTTAAACTGATTATGAGACTGTATTATATAAACAGATTTTCATTTAGTTCTTCATTGTTCTTAATGTTTTATATTTAAGGGGATATCCTCCAAGGCAATCAAGTAACACACATTAACATGGCCTGTTGACCCTGTCTTCAGCCTTCTTTTCTTTCTAGCCTTGCTTCCATAACCTTTATCCACCAAAGAACAATCTGCAAGGCAGCAGTTTTTTCATTTTGGAGTTGTCTCTCCAAGATGAGTTGCTGTCCCCAGCTAACGAGCCTCATCTGCCCAGGGTCCAAACTTGACCACGATGTCCCCTTTCATTAAAAAAAAAAGTTCCCCTTTCAGAACTAATGATCCATATGGCAGATGAAGTAGAGTTCACGTCTCTTGACATCAGCTTATGAAGGGATGGTGTGGTCATGACTATGCCCAACCGCCATGTACTGTCCATAATGTAAGTCAAGTACCCATCAGAGCTGGGTGGACTCTAGGAAGTCCTATAGTCACAAATCCTGATCATAACTCAAAACCTTAGGGCTAGCAATCAATCACTCAATAATGATGTCCCTTCACTTTGCATGTAAAAAATAAAATGTCCATTCATTTCAGAGCTCTAAGGACTCAGTTGGTCTTTCTGTTGGGGTTCAGTGTGTTGCCCTGCCCTACCAAGAAGAAATATGTCTACGGGTGATGAGAGATGTAAACAAATGTCTTCAAGGAAAGAAGTAAAAAGCTAAACAAACAGATAGTTAGGGCCTATCCTTGAAATGTGCTTGTCAGGTCAGGGAATCACTGGTTTAAATATATCAAAGATTTAGCTCAACAGAACATGCCAGGACCAGCCCTGAATTTTGGTTATTATTGTGTAGTTTAGTACTGTACTTCCATAAAAAACTACCCCCCTCCTTTCCACCCACCCACATCCACTGGCATTTCACTACACTTAACCAAAACATCAGTATTTATATTTTAACTTTAAATATTATGGATAACTTTTTTTTTTTTAAATATTATGGATACCTTTTTTTTTTTTAAAAACTAACAAAAGTATTTATTGCCATTAATATTGTACATTTGATATAATAGTTTTTAAAATTTTGATATTTTCTTTTTATAAAAGAAATGCTCCAAATACTATTTACTTACGTATTACTCGTATTAGCTAGAGAGATTTGTTCCATTTTGTGATTGGTGGGATACAGTTTAAATCCTGTGATAGAAAAATATAGTCAAAATATTTACATGCAATGTTTATGTTGTGTTCACAAGCTGTTAACTATTTAGTCACATTGAATGATCACTTTATTAAGATTACAGTATTTCTTTATTTCATATTAAACAGATGTTTATTTTAAATAAATTTGTGCTTTAACATTAATGCATTTTTATTTTATTTGAGATTAATGTACATATTTTTATGTAAAAGTATTTGTTTCTTTTCTTTCAAATCACAAATAATAGATTTTTTTTACATTATTTTCTTTATAATTGTTTTTAGATACATATTTTTTATGAGAAAATATCTGTTACATTCTTTTAACTGAATAAATTATATTTAAAATTATATCAAATTAAGAGATTTTTAAAGACATTATTTTACTTTGTAATTGCTTATAGGTATACGGTGTTTACTAGGGGAATAAAAAGTTGTTTTTTTCCCAGATTTATACAAATTTAACCCACCGAATTAGACAAATTAAGCATTGCTTTTTAAATAAAAATGAGCACATAAAGAGTCTAATGTGTTTTTTAAGTGTTTCTATGTGATTTATGTTTGTTGCTGTGTAACTTCAAGGGACCATGTCTAGAACTGAGAGTATGTTGAATGTTTGTTGTCTCCCTTAACCAAAAAAGTTCAACGCTGATTAAAGCTGATTATATTTTTTACCTTTTTCTAAAATTATCAGAATTTTAAATTGAAGTTCCCTTGTAGAACCTAAAGATTCATAGGGCAGATGCAGGAGAGTATCTTTTTTATTACCATGGAATATGTAGGGATAGTGTTGTCCACACTATGTCCTTGATCTTACTTTCTAAACACAGAGGTCTTGCTGGGTTTGTGAAATAGAACATTGAGGTCTTGCTGGGCTTGTGAAATAGAACATTGAGGTCTTGTTGGGCTTGTGAAATAGAACATTGAGGTCTTGTTGGGCTTGTGAAATAGAACATTGAGGTCTTGTTGGGCTTGTGAAATAGAACATTGAGGTCTTGCTGGGCTTGTTAAAACTTAACACTGAGGTCTTTTATTTTTACTGTTACACAGTCGTACAATACACTTTTATACAATTGGTTTCTTTAAGTGTTAAAGGTATTTATTTTACACAATCGTGGTAGAAAGCAGTTAAATTAGTATGTAATGGTCTGTAGCCGATTAATTTCTTATCTGACTTTATAATTCAAAAGCTTGAAATCAGCATTTAATTTTTCTTCTATTACTTTCTTCTATCCCCCCCCCCCCACACCCACACACCCAAAGGTCGGGGGTTATGATGGGGTTAAGAGTTGAGACTGTCTTCTAAGCAGAGGCGTAGCGACCCTTCCCGGCGCCCGGGGACAAACTTTCAATTTGCACCCCCCCCTCGAAACTTTCATTTGCACCCCCCCCCTCGAACTTTCAATTTGTGTCGTCCCCCCCCCCCCCCCATCGCTACGCCTCTGCTTCTAAGCCAGCACGAAGTCATATGAGTAGTCTCTTGTTCCCGGGCATTTCATTCTGTAATAACCTGTTTCGTATTTAGGTAATGTTAGTAGATGGTGTTTGGTGATTTATATGAGACAGTAGTAGCATTTGTTTATTTGTTTGCCTTCATGTATGTCTCCATGTTTTTCTTAGTGTTTTATTTTGTCAAGTTATGAGATTAATTTTTTTATTCAATGGTGACATTATATAGCAGTGTGAGTAAATTTCATGGTTTTGTATTGCAGCCTCATTCCCGTAGCCTCGATCGTAGATTATGTAGTCGTGATATTGAATGGCAGCAAGGAAATCTTCTGGGATCTTCGTTAATTAATATAGCAGTGTGAGTAAATTTCATGGTTTTGTATTGCAGCCTCATCCCCCTGGCCTCGATTGTAAATTAATTAGTTGTAGTATTGAATGGCATCAAAGACATCCTGTAGGACTGCAGGCACTTCGTTAATTAATTTTGTAGGTAACATACAGTTTTCAACAAAATCAAAATTAACAGGTTACACCCAATAACATTAAAAAATTATGCTTGATTTATTTATAAATCAAATTTTTAAAAACGCTTTAGGTTTTTATTATAAACTAGAGTCACATTTTATTTTTAATTTCTAATAAATATTAATAATAATTTATAGAGAGTTTAGCTTTCAAGTTTAATAATATTCTAAACAATGTCTTTTATTTTTACCTTTTAAATGTTCTATATATCTGTATTTTTAGAGCATTTTGGTAAAAAAAATATAGTTTGTCTCCCTTGGTAGTTTTTTTTTAAGTTTCACAAAACAAAATTATTTTGTCCGTATGTCTGTGATTGTACTGTGAATGTAGGCCTATGTATGTATGTGTATATGTATGTCTTGAACACTATAACTTGAGTACTGTTACAGCTACGGTGATAAAATTTCAAAGTAATACTTCAAATGTGTAATTCTGTATCAACTTTTCAGCGATTTCCGGTAACCCGAAGTGGAACTTATACTACTTTTGGTTTTTCAAAGCCTATAACTTGAATACTATTTTAGATAGATAAACGAAATTTTACATCAAAGGTAAAGATCTAATTCTCTGCCTTCTGTCAAATTTTGAGTAATTTCCATTGACCGGAACTGGTAATTTACGCTATTTCCGATTTCTCAAAAAAAAAAAAAAACAAAAAAAAAAAAACCAACGAATATGAATTTATAACGTACTAATATTCTGCACTATTATACACATATTATTTGCCGTTCACTTAATGCGCAGACCTTTTTGTACGAGATTCTATTAGTTGACATACACCTAGTGTTATATAAGAGTATTCGATAAAGTTTAGGGGAGATCATTTTCGTATTATTATAGATACAAGTTTTACAAGTTAAAAATGCTTTTTAATAAGGTGGGTAAAAAAAATATTCTTTTACTTTAGATTATGTTTATTAATTAATCTTATGTGATGGTTGTGCACGCTAATAAACAGCTTCAAAGTTCGATGGTGAATTTTTGTGAACGAAAATCGTGTACCATTTCCGACATTTAATTAAGTAACTTATTTGGCTTTTAAAAAAAGAATTACAAATTAACGTTCGCTAAAATATGCAGACTCAAATAGAATTAAAACTTGAATGACAAGAATCGTCACAAAAAAGTAAAATACAAATGGTTAAATCTGAAAATTTACTGTATTCAGCTACACTTTCCCCGTAACTCTTCTTGGCTTGTTCTGTGTTCGGTATTTCTTAGGTTGATTCCCTTTTTACTAACGTTTCTACTATGAGCTAACACTGCTTCGATTTGTAGATCGATATTTTATATTGTATTTTTTTTTTCATCATTTCACGCATCCACTACACTAGTCCGCGCGCTTCCCAGTTTGAAAACCGTTGTCAGCGACTATTAAAGATGTAGCTTATACTATGATTAAACATACATAATTCTTTTTTAATAATTAATTATCTTATATTCTATGTAAAAAAAAAAGTTGTAACTGAAAACGCCATACTTTTATTATTTTAGCCAATTCCCGCCCCACTCCACCACACGTCTAGTCTAAAATAACCAGACCCACCTCTAGAATGTCCCTACAAAGTTCCACCCCTTCCAAAATATTAATACTTAATTATTTTTTTTAAATTCTAACTTATTATTCATGGACGACGACGACTTTTAAGATGATTACCGTACAGTCTGTCAGGAACCATAACTCTAATTATTTGCTTGTCATAATAACAAATTCAATAAAATTTAGAACAAATTCAAGTAAGCCAAACTTTATGTGATACTTATGCCTGATTGGCCTTGTGTGCGAATATTTGTTTAACAGCAGTTATCGATCTTTAACTTAAACCTTGTATATATTACTATATTGAGCTTAATGATTATAATATCAGTACTCGAAGGCCATACATTATACAAACACTAAACAGTAAACTGTTAAGTATATTATCTACACTATCTAGTATTACTAGTATTTATATTCTTAAATTCTATAGACTATAGATAGACGAATAGTTATATAGATAGACGAATAGTTAAAGGCCTAATTAATTAGATAGTTACTAGATCTAAGTCTAAATGCGCTACTATACAAGTATAAATATCAATTAGTATAATATAAATTATATGCTAGATCTAATTATTAATTAATTATTTAATAGAGTTAACTAAAATGTAAAAAGTAAATGAATAAAGTAACTGATGCTAATGCTTAGATTAGATCTAATTATACTTTATAGTCAATAGTCTATATATTATAATTTATATTACTTTTCATTTCAAGGTCCTTCAAAAACTAGTTCAATTATTACAATTAAAGTATTTATAATAATATTAATTAAATAAACATAATTACAAATTAAGATTATAAGTTTCTGTATAGAACAATAATAATGTAAATTTAGTTGGGACTACTTTAGTTATTGTTCTAATTAGAGATCAAACACTGAGGCGTAGCAAGGGTGGGGCGGGGGGTGCGGACCGCATTGGGTGTCACCACTTAGCGGGGTGACACCATGGCAAAAAAAAAAAATTGCAAAATGTCAAGAAGAAAAATTATTTTTGCCAGTTCTATTAATGATTAAGAAAAGTTAAATAGTCTTTTAAGTACAAATCGACAATTATTACAAGAGGGTGGGTGTGTAAAGATGACGTAAACGTGTTCACAATAGAGAAAACAATGCAAGTGATTAAAGCTTGTACACATACACACACACGCATATATATATATATATATATATATATATATATATATATATATATATATATATATATATATATATATATATATATATATATATATACTTTGTTTCTTGGGGGAAGTGGTGACACCATGAAGTGCCGCACCGGGTGACACCCACCCTAGCGACGCCACTGACTTAACATAATTGTTCTAACAATCTGTATTATTACCTAACAAGTATTTCTATAGTTAAGACTACACATTTTTCTTCTTGGCTCACTGTATCATTATAATAAGCACAATTAACCAGATTCACTACAACATAGGTTTGTCCATAAATATACAGCTGTAGCATTGAATGTAGGCCTATATAAAGGTTATATATATATATATATATATATATATATATATATATATATATATATATATATATATATATATATATATATATATATATATATACTGAATTTTAGAAGTTATTTTAAGTCTACAAAGATTATACTCACTGTTGGCTGAGCACGCTACATATTTTAGAGAGAAATAGCAGTTTAAAAAAGATAAAAATGGATTTTTTTTATGTGGGTAGTAAGCTGAAGTGTGACCTCATTTTAGAAGGATGGCTTTTTGTGATGATTGGTAAAAGAGAAGGTAAAAATCATTTTTAAAAGTGGGATATTTTTTTTTTGAATGATCGCCAAAAACAAATTAATAATTGAGGGGTGTGTATGATTAACAAACAGTAATAACATTAAAAACATTATAAAATAAAAGACCAGGAACTTTGGCCCACTTGATAAGAAAACAGACAGCACTTTATAACCTGCTGGTAGGACTGTTGGTTGTTTGCTCAGTCAAATGGAAGCTCTGGCTAGCACTGTCAGCTTTAGATATATTTATTTTTAGCTGTAAATTTTATCAGAAATACTTTAACATCTAGTTCATCTCACTCAGGCTTTCCTCAAGTTTTCTTTTCAGTCTGTATTAGACAGCTAGTATTTATTTAGTTGAGCTTTTAGTAAGGTTAATACCAATACTAATACTTAAATACTACTATCATAAAGTGCTAGATCTAGATCTAGGGTCTAGTTGATGTTAACCATAGTGATGGTCGAAGATATACATACATATTTTGGTTAATCTCTCATCTTCATTCTAGCTATAACAGATTTTAACAGATTAACACTACAACAATGGAGATAGTTGATGAAGATAATGCAGTTGGTGATACGCTGGGTACTAAGGAATGTATTCTAGAAGGATCCGCAAAAGTGTCAGGAAAGCAGTATCACATTTTATTGAATTCTAATGGATTAAAATTAACAGAAACACCCAAAAGTAACAGAGATAAAGGTAAGTAGTGAGCGAAGTAAAGATTCCTCTTTAGACCGAATGATCCATTGGGAAGATGAAGTAGAGTTCACATGTTTCTTGACCTCGGCTTATGAAGGGATAATGTAGTCATCACTATGCCCAGCCACCTTTACTTTCCCTAAAATTAGTTAGGTACCCATTAGAGCTGGGTAGACTCAGTGGTGTTCCACAGACTTGAACCTGGATTTGAACACGAGACTAAGGGTTAGCAGTCTATTGCTAGGCCACACCGTCCTGCACAGATGAAGGTATTACTAGTATTACTACTATTATAATCATTTTTCACAAAATATTTTCAAAGAAAAGTAGAAACTTAGCATTAGCTATAGGTGATTGATGATGGTTTTTTTACAGATATTGATTTGTCTTGGCAAGATGTGATCTGTGCTAAACCGAATGCTAAACAACCAAAAGAGGAACAAAATACAACTTTTCAGCTTTACTACGTTCAACAAGGGAAAAAAAACATTTTGAGACACATTTGTTGTAATGTGCAATTGAAAAATGACCAAGCTGAAAAATGGATAGCTGCCATACAAGAATTTTGTTCAAAAGGTTTATCTAATTTTATATTTGCAAAATGCTTTTCAGTACAGTACTTTGTATTTGTAGCTGATTTTCTTGTTTGCTTAAATTGTCCTACAAAATTCACAGACAAACATATCACTTTCTATTTCCTTTAAATTTTTTATTGTGGTAAAAACATTGATATTTAAAGTAAAACAATACAAATATTGTGTTTAATCAAAACTTCGGTCCCCTGGCAAGCAAAGGGCTGTAACAACACCTCTCCTCGGACATGGTTTTGGGCAGTTCTCTTTATTTGCACCTATGTAACCCTGGCAGCCCTTGCCTCTTCTCCTCCACGATTTCCTTGGCCGGCCTACTTTCCTCTTCACCTGGGGATTCCAGTCTAATGTTTTCTTCATGATATTATAATCTTCCTTTCTCAGTCTGTGTCCAATCAAACCCCCCCCCCCCATTTGTGGGCTTTAATGTCCCTGTCTGATGGCTGTGGTCTAAACATAAAATAAACAAATATAAGCACAACGTAAACAATTACATTTTAAGATAAATAGGTTTAGTAAATTAAAACTGTATAGGCATATCATATATAAAATCACATTTTAAAGACTTTGCTATTCTTCTTTAACTATAAACTTAACTACAAAATAAATGAAGGTATTTACACACAAAAACTTTCTATATTTACATTTAGCATCAAAATTTAAAACTTAATTAAAAAACCACAAACCATAAACCTATCTTTTATTTAAATGAAATTTCAATGCAGTTTATAAAGATATTATATTAGATCTAATTGAATACTTTCCTCCCAAAAAAATCTTATTCCAAAATCACTTTTTTATGTTGTGAAAATTAATTAATAATATCAATTCTTGTTTATAATAATTACATTTATAGTGTCATGCCGGCCCAAAAAATTATTTGTCCTTGTGAATCCTATTGGAGGAGCTGGGAAAGGTCGCCAGATTTTCCAGAAAAATGTTGCCCCCTTATTTGATCTTGCTGGGATAGAAACTACTGTTGTTGGTAAGAATGTTGGAATGCTTCAAGTACTAGTACCTGTACACAATATCATGAATTTTTTTCTTTCTTTTTTTTTCTTGTACTAGGCCTATTAATTAAAGATTTGTATTCCCATCTTTTAAAAAATTAGAATATATTTTAATTAAACAAAGTATGTTAATGTACTCTCTCAAAAATAACACTACATGTACAACCACCATGTTAATATATGTGTTGCCTACACACATTGTAATTCTTTTAATATCATGTGTACCATTTTTATGTTACAGTGACAGAAAAATCTAAGCATGCCCTAGAGATTGGTGAATCGCAGGACTTTTCACAGTTTGATGGGTAATATTCTATTTACCAGGGGAGAGTATGGCCTAGCAGTAGAGCATTAGAGTGCTAACCCGAAAGTCTGGAGCTTGAATCTGGTTCAAGTCAGTAGAACGTCTCTGAGTCCACCCAGCTCATATGGGTACCTCACGTTAGGTAAAGTAAAGGTGACTGAGCATAGTGCTGACCACACTATCCCTTCATATGCAGAGGTCACAGAAACAGGTGAACTCTACTTCACCTGCCCCATCGACTGTTAGGTTCAAAATGGGAACTTTACTTACTTCCTTATTTAATTTAGCACATTAATAATTTTCTCCAATATATTAATAATCTAACTGCAAATCCATTCAACATGCAATATTTAATGGTTCTATATATTAAAATATGATTTCAAATACTATCAATTAAAAATTGGGCTCCACTGTACTAAATATGAAACTATATTGACTTTTTAATCTTAGCCTTGTGGTTGTCGGAGGTGATGGCTTGTACCAGGAGCTTCTTCAAGGTCTAACTTTACAAAAACAGAAGAAGGCTGGTGTCTTGTATGATAACCCTGATGTAGAGTTACAGAGACTTGATAAACCTATTGGAATTATTCCTGCAGGTAGGCTAATTAACTTTTTTCTCTGCGATAAATGACTTTTATGTAGCAGGTACTTTTCTTTTTCTTTTCTTCTTCTTCTTCGTTCTTAATTTTTAGTGTTGGAGGGGATCGAGCCTTATTTGCCAGAGGGTTTGAACTCGAGACTTTTTTTTTTTTCGAATTTATCGACCACACCTCCATCACAAGTAAGGATTACGTGTCAACTGGTTTTGCGCCATTGACTCCGATTTCAGCCTGCTTTTCTTTTTGGATGTGCTTCCATAGCCTTTGTCCAACCAAGAACAAACTACAAGGCAGCAGTTGTTTGATTTTGGAGTTGTCTCTCCTAGAAGAGTGGCTGTCCCCAGCTAACGTGCCTCATCTGCCCGAGGGTTCGAACTTGAGACTTTACAGTTTAGCAACCATGAGCTTTACCGACTCGACCACGCCGACCCCCTTCTTTTTCTTTGATATTTATTTAACTTTTAAGTAGCAAAATCCTACTCTCATACCACATATCTTTACATACCTCATCACACAGTCACAATCTTTTATTAATATAAATTATTCTACAGCACACATACTCTCAAACCCTTGCAATACACTGAGTTACCATTCATAACACTGAGTAAAGTTAAACGGCTGTGTGTAGGTTGTTATTGTTTTCTGTGCTCATTCATGTAACTTAAAAACAGGAACTGGAAATGGGGCCACAGGACTTGTGAATGGAGTCATTGATGCTGAAACAGCTGCCTTAAATATTATCAGAGGTAAAGTTAGATAATTTATTTAAAATATACCATCTAGTTAGATCAGAAAACATTACATTATATTATTGCAAACAGTTATTTTTTATAAAAAAAAAATTTCCTTTCTTTCTATTGAGATAATTATTCCCAAGTAGTTTTTGACCAGGCAAGAGATAAGTTGACTGAGTTATCTAAAAGCAATTCCCCATCTGGCCCTGAAGCTGCTCATTAAAATCCTAGGGGGTTCAGACCATACAATTGCACCACACTCTTAATTTGTTGTTATTTTTTTAGCCATGATAGGAGCCTCTTTCTACGCTTGTTGGTTTCTCGACATCCTGCCTAAGTCTCCATACAGACGACAAAAGTTCTATAGATATTAACTGTCTATTAATTCTCATTAGGAAGTAGCTGTAGTTCTTATAATCCCAATCTAATCTCTGTGCACATTAGTTGATGTGTGTTTTGAGTGTGTGTGTGTTGGGGGGGGGGGGGGGTTCTTAACCTACATGATGAAGACCCCATACTCAGTCTGGAAAACCACATGGATGCTGTAGAGCTTCAATAACTGTGCCAAGATCTCTCTCCTTTATTTTCCTAGTAAAAACCAACACCATCACTCGTACGGCAGAGGGAAATTTCCCTTTGATACAATTTATTTTTGTGATTGCTTTGTGTTTATTTAAGCAGTTTTACGGTAAGACATTCATTAACCATGTTTAAATATTGAACTAAGGTAAACAATATTTTCCAAGGTGAACATCACAGGGTGGAGATCTTCTCTGTGTACAGCAATGCCAAGTTTTTGTGTGTTTGCACAATAATATTTGGCTATGGTATGTTCTCTGACATGATCAAACGGACAGACGAGTTGAGGTGGATGAAGAAAGCCAGATATCCGTGTAAGATTAAGCTAGCTTGTTAATTATACTTAATAATTATTTGTAAATAGACAAGAACTAGCTGGACTTGGTTAGTAAACTCCACATTTTGTATGTGTTGTTACAGATTCTATAGCTGCAATGTTGTGCAAAAAGAAAAGATTTTTTCAAGCTGAAATTAGCTACCGTATTCAAGAAATAAAATCAAGGTTAACCTTGCTTTCCTAATGTAAGCTTAAAGTAATTATTTGATTTAAAATATTTTTTGGACATATGTATGTACATTAGTTGTTAGTTTTTTTCTACTTACAATTACAGTTCTGATGAGGACAGTAGTCATCAACACACAGGTAAGTTATAAACAAATGTTTTTTCTAGAATTGTCTGGGAATTCAAGTTTTTTTTAATGATGTTCAAAGTGTTGCTCTTTTTAGATGATAAATTGCTTTACAATGTTTTGAATTCATTGTTTTAGAATTATTTAAATTTATGTTTTGGTTTATTGCTTATATAAATAGTTAATTAATTTTAACAAAAATCTTGTTGTAGTTTCAGAATGGATAGTGTTTTAAATTCGACAAATATTCATTTATTTTGATTTATGTTTTTTTATTCTCTACACAAATTGTTAATTCATTTTAGCAAAAATCATACTACAGTTTCAGACTGGATACCTCACAAAAATGAAAGCAAACGCTACAATAGTGTCTTCACCATGCCCTGTGAGATATTGGATGCTGGGAGTAATAAGATCATGCTGAACCCGTTTGGGGACTTTGTTCATCTGGCCATTGGCACAGGCTGCAGTCATATGGCACTCTTCAAGGTCTTCATCAATATGGCAACTGGGAAAAAGATTGATGTAAGAGGGTGGTTTATTTTTATTCTTTTATTTAAAAAAACTTTTATTCAATCTAATTTTGTGTAAATAGGCCTGATTACTATTTTGAAATGGGATGGCATGGCCTAGTGGTAGAGAGCTAGACTGCTAACCCATAAGTCTGTAGTTCAAATCCGGGTTGAAGTCAGTGGAACGTCCCTGGGTCCAGCCAGCTCTGATGGGTACCTAACTCACGTTATGGAAAGTAAAGGCAGCTGGGCATAGTGCTGACCACACTATCCCTTCATATGTTGAGGTCATAGAAACAGGTGAACTCTTATTCACTTGCCCCATAGACCATCAGGTTTTTGAAAGGGAACTTTTTTTTACTATTTGGAAATCTTTTTACCTACATAATTTTCTATGACATAGATATATTTAAATCTTATTTTTTTAGTTATTTCTTTAGAAAGTTTATTAAAATCAAGCAAAAGCACACAATTCTTCTATTAAATATTAATATTTTTTCTTATTTATACTAATATAATAAGATCTACAGTAAATCTTTCATTTTCTCCAAAGTTAAAAAAAAAACATGTTTCTTTATTTAGCCAATTCCACCAAATCTTGAGATCATAGAGAGGGTGACAGACTTTAAAATAAATCTTGTGAGAGATGAAAGCGCCAGCAGTGAATCCCCAGCAAACAACAGGAACAGAGACCTAGAACATTTAGTGGATATTGACGGAGAAGTTGTACAACTGGAAAAACCAGAACTGGAGATCAGGTCGCTTTTTTATTTAGTTACTTTATATTTATACATCATCCAAATTGGCAATAAAAGCACAAGCAAGCTGACTTCCTTGACAATATATTTTTTTATTGGAGGTGAAAGAGAGTTTATCTGCTTCTGGAAATTCACTATAAAAAAAGATAGTGTATGGTCAGTACCTTTTTCTGACTTTCTTAGCCAGGTACCAAATTAGAGCTGAGCAGACTCAAGGGATTCCTGCAAAATTGTGCTCTCTCGTGATGTCCCCATGTTGATAGTTGAGATTTTTAATTATAGCTTAGAATTTATTCTGTTTAGCCTTAAAACAACAGAGTCACTTTTATCATAAATTTGTTTTTATTTACAATTTGTTTTTGTCCACAGGCTCAGAACTGCATTTGTTCCACTTTATGGTTGCAAACAAACTGTCAAAAAGGATTAATCCTTACATTCAAGGATAAACTTGTCTTATGTTTAAAGCAATTGTTTTATTTGATCCTTACCAATATTTTGGTAGAGTCACAACAACAATCATTTAAATTATACTAGTAAATGATCTGTATCATAAATGTTAAGAATCTTTTGATTCTTAAGAATGTTCAAATCATTAATTTTCTACCTTATGCAATTAATTTAAATAGACTTGTACTTATAAATATTTTCTAACTGATCCTTACAGTAAACATGCTATATGCCTAAGTATAAAAAGTTTTTTTAATGCTAGTCAAATTTTTACTATTTTAATACTTTATTTGGACAGTTTTCTGAAAAAGGTATCAATCTTAAAAATGATATTTTAACATTGGTTATGAGAATATTATTGGGAAAAAAATTAAGCAGTTTTAATAAATATCACACCTGCCTTAGTGCTACTAAAATTACTTAAAAAATATTATTTATGTTGTATTTTAAAGAATGTGTTACATTTTTTTCTTGTGCAATAAAGATCAAGGTGAACCATTTCAACCAACTATCATGATTAATGTTAATTCATGTTCAATGTTTTAATGATGTTTTTTTTTTTTAAAGTAAGCTCTTTTTTTATATAAATATATCTTGGAATAATACATTTTACATTATTCAACATATTTTTGATGTAAATGTTGTAATAAATCAATGATGTTGTTATTACCTACCTACACAAAATTTTATACAAATAAGTCAACTTCTATGTTCAATGTGCCTCACACATAATAATTGTCTATAAATCTTAATTGTCAAACCATGTTGTAACTATTTACTTTTTATTAAAAATTTTAAGTCTAAATTTTTAAAAACATGTTGAGTTTTTTTTTACATTTTTTTATTGTTCAAAAGCCAAAAATCAACAAGTCTTACACCACATTAACACGAGGAAAAAAAGACTTGCAGTAAGCTAGTATACATTTTCTGCATGAGAAATGTTTTTACATACATTAACTTGCTGTGAGGTGTTTTTCTAGACATGTATAGTGCACTTGTGGCAAGTTTAAACACAGTGTAAAGTTGGAATATCTGGCACATTTGTCACTATCCACAAGTACAATTTCCATCAAGTTTAAACTTTAAACAAAACAAAGTAATTTTTAGTAGGATGTAAATACTCCTATTTCTTTCTATATATGCTACAACGGAGTTACCTTTATCTGCATACAATAGATCTAAGTTTGAATTTAAGTTCAAACGAAATGTATTGAGAAAAATTCTAGACCATAATCCTATTTGGATGGGTACCTAACTCACATTAGGGAAAGTAAAGACGTGTGGGTATAGTGCTGACCAAATTATCCCTACATATGCCAAGGTCAAAGAAACAGGTGAGCTCTACTTCACTTACCAGTCAGGTTAAAAAAAAGGGAACATTGAACATATCCTTAAAAAAATAAGAAAGAAAGCAAGCAAATATAAACTTTAATATTCTGCCACCCAGCTATCTCCCCCTCCCCCATACATGGCTCCACCAAGTGTCCCTCTCCCTATGCACCTCCCCTGCCAAGAATTTCTACCCCATGCCATATTCCCCATATGTCTCTCCTTTACAAAACCTTCAAGCATTAACCCACCCTCTTTCTTACAACAGCATACAATTCAGTAAGTTGCAATGCAACACAACATAATAAAGAACAACACAACAGCATACAGTTTGGTACAGGGGCTTATATGGACAAGATAGATATATTGAGTTCAGATCTACCCTTGTATTTGAATTGAGGTGAAGAGGGAGGAGTTTAATCCTATATGTCCATCTCCGTTTCTTTTCATTATTACAAAAATAAAATACTCTTTTTGCCGGCAGAATGCCAATGTGCTTGTATGTTGTCTTGGTCTGTCAATCTCTAACTAAGGGCAACCACCAAAGAAATACCGAACGCAGAACATGCCAAGAAGAGTTACGGGTAACCGAGACAATAACTTTTATTTATTTTTCTGATTTAAATATATGCGTTATTTTTTTCAGGCTTCGCTGCTCGTAATGTAGATCTAATAGATCTAGATCTAGACTTAGATCTAGTAAAGTTTTCCGTTTTTTTCCCATTGGGTTTGGTAATTAATTTCCCTTTGAGGCGCTGCTCTACATTTTTATAAATTATCTCAGTCAATAGGCTTATAATGATTTTTTTATTTATATCTAGGACAGATACTTGGTATATATATATGATGTTATTTCTTTAAAGTATAACCGAAAGGTTAGCCTAGCCTGCTAAATATATATAGTCTTGATTTAGATCTAGAATCTAGATCTACTAGGCCCTGGGCTAAATCTAGATCTAGATTCTAAGATCTCACGTATTCTTTTGTAAACATTCTAAAAGAAGAGCTCAGTCACGATAGTTAAATCCTGACATGATTGTAAAATGCCCCAAAGGCTTAGGCCTACATTACTAGACTCGATCTACACCTTCTAATCCAGATCTAGACTAGACCAGATGCCTAACGAGAATTTATTTTCACCATTTTCAGACACTTTTAAATGTCTTTAGTCGGCTTTAGCTCGTAAGGTATGCTTTTGTTTTTATTATTAAGTTACGGCTATAAAATTATTTTAAAAAAGTGTCCAGTTCTTAAAATAAAAATTAGGTCACTTGAAATTTAATCAGGTTAATATTTTCATTTTATACGAACACATAACTGAAACTAAATCGCCTAGAGATCTAATTATTTTAGTAGATTTAGACTGCATCATGATGTTGAATCTAAAAATATATAATAAATGCTTTACAAGCAGTTGGTTTAATTCCAATGAATAATGGTTGCATCACCACTGGGTGAATGCAATCTGAATCAACAGGTCAGTCAGGTACCCAAACCACACTTCTTGGTTCTTCTGGTTGTTAAGTCTAAAATCTAGGTCTAGCTCTTGCTCTAGTACAGGGATGTTAATTAAAGTCTGAATTAATATTATTAGCTATAGGCCTTCTGCCCTGTAGTATTAGAGTTTTAGAGTAGCTATAGCAGGTAAATGCTAGAGTCATTGTAATATTGTAATGTCTATTGTAGATTTTAGAGGCTCAATGAATTTTTAAGTAGATTATTTTAAAATAAATTTTAGGCCTAGATCTACTTGTTACTGTTAGTGTTGTTAGGCTTTTTTTTTTTACATAATTTAAAAATTATAATTAGGCCTATTATTATAGTTATTTATAGATATAGACCTATCTGATATATAATTATAAGGCTTAGAACTAGATCTATGAAATAGAATCTATTCTATAGGCCTATAATAATTACCTTATACTAAATACTTTATGATTATTCCTTTATATTGTGAATAAACTAAGTGCTTTTTTTAATTTGAAAAATAACTGCTGAAATTTAGTTTTATTTAGAATTTATTTTTTATAGGCTAATGCCAAGTGAAGTCACACTCTCTGAAACCCCCACCTTGTCAAAAAAAAACAATTAAACCCCCTATAACTAGTTTTGATCGAGCCATATTTAAAATATTGTTTTAAAGTAACAATGCTAAGCTTGCAAATAAAATCACAAAAATCATTTATTTGTTTATTATTCTTGTAAAGATTTGTATTGTGTATTGGTCAAATGAGATTTTTCAATTGCTATTTTTTTAACATCACATCTCTCTCCTTAATAGCTGACCCCACTACATCGTTTTTAAAAGCTGCACAGGACACCCATAAGGAATGGATGTTTTTTCTGTAAAGTTAAAAAGCTATTTATTTAAATCACTTAACTTCTGGAAGTAGCTACTTGTATTCAAGTAAAAATCTAAGGTAATGGGCGCAACAATAGTATAAAAACTTAGTCGATTGTGTTAAGTTACAGGTGCAATTTAAAAGGTTTCCACAATTTTCCTTGCACATTTTATATTAACGTTTCAGAATGTCCAGTGCAGGTGATGAAGTTGATGTAAACAATCACTTAGACAAGAAAGGAAACCGCTTAAAACCAGAACCCCATGATACTGATATCTCAGTAGAGGCTAGCAAAATTTCAAAAGGTGGATATGATGATTCATCAGAGGGGGAGACAATCTTGGACGGGCAGGTGACAATATCGGGGAAGGAGAAACACATGCAGCTGAAATCAAATGGACTTAAGATTGCTGCCTGTAAAGTGAATCTAAAGAAGGACAAACCCGAAGGTAGGCTGCACCACAATAAACTTTCCTTTAGTACAAGTATTGAATCCAACAGATATTTCAGTTCAATAATAAATCTACAATAATTTTCTTTTAAAAATTAAAACAATGTATTATCAATTACTGTAGCTGTTTCTATTCATTTTTTATATTTTCAACAAGATGCCCCATTTAACTTTGAATTATAATCATGGTCATTTCCATCTACATTTCAGTTCTCTTTCTGCCTTGGAGAGATGTGATTTCAGTTGCCAAAGATTCAAAGTCTTCACACCAACCTAACTCATCTTTCATTATTCATTACATACAAAACCGATCCAATTGCATTTTAAGACTAACATCTTTAAAGATAGAAGATGCTGGTGGACATGCTGAGAAATGGGTCAGCGTCATTCAAGACCAGTATAACAAAGGTTCATTTAATTTATTTTTACTGTCATTAACAAACATTTTACTTAACTAAAATTTAAACAGAATTGTTATTAATTTACATATTGATAAAAACAAATGTTTACAATTTTAATTAATTATAATACTGTTTTGATTATTTTTCAGTGAGGGGGCGTCCGCACAAGCTTTTTGTTCTCATAAATCCCATCGGAGGAGCTGGTAGAGCCAGGCAGATCTACCACAAAAGTGTGGCCCCTATCTTTGAACTGGCACAGATAGCTACTACAGTTGTAGGTATGTTCTCAGAAAGTTCACCTTAAATACATTTATTTTGAAACCTATTGCTTATGATTAAATATTAAAGAAGAAATAGTTTTTTTCATGATCTAGAGCATGTGGATTTATACTGTAAATCTCTAACTTTAAAGAACTTTGATAGTTTGTTTTTCTAGCTGTACTAAAAATTAGTTATTAGTTTAAGAATTAATTTTTAAGTTATGAATTTTAAAATCAAATTATTTTTTTTTTAAAATAGCTGAAAATTCATTATTTTGTTTCAATCTTTACCAGTTTGTTTTTTATATACAGCTAACATTTTTGTATTTTCAGCAACTGAAAGATCCAAACATGCCCTAGAAATTGGAGAAACCCATGATTTTTCATCATACGATGGGTATGCTATTTTAAACTTGTAGAGAATTTATCACAAAAATTTATTTTTTACAGGGTATTGGTTTTGTTAAATATTATAAAGAGGTACTGATGTTTTTGATTTTGGATAACAATTGTGCTGATTTAAGTATAACTCAGACCTATAAACTTGTGTTTCAGGTAAATAAAAATGTAGTAGTAGTTCATACCCCAGTTAAACTAGAATGTTAAAGGAAGTACCTCAGATAAATTAGAATATAGCAATCATGTTTACCTCAGTTATATAAGATTGTTATAGTATAAAGTACCTCCATTAAATTAGAATGTTATGTTTGACATTATTGCCATACATGTAGAGATAACTTTTGCACCCTTTTCATTTTAAGAAAAATTTTCAGCAAAAATAAATCTTTATTTTTCTGCTGACTGAATCCTTCAAAATACATGGGTGTAGTAGCTACTCCAAACTAAATTATTTCCACATTTCATGATATTGTTCTTTTTTCTCTTAACAATAATTCAATTGTAAATATTTTTTTTCCCTTCTGCATTTTTAAAGCATTGTGATAGTAGGTGGTGATGGGTTGTACCAGGAACTGTTACAAGGTTTCACAGTACAGACACAGAAAAAAGCTGGTGTCAACTACCATAGTCCAGACACCAAGTTTGTTCCTCCTCCCATCCCTATTGGTATCATTCCTGCTGGTAGGTGGCGCCTTTTGACATTACCTTGACTGTGTGAACTTTTCCTTAAATTTAGATTCACATTTGTATTTGACTAACAGTTAGGTACTCAGTAATTTACTTACAAAGTCATTAGTGCAGATTACCAGTATTTCTTTTTTGTTCTTAAGTTTTAAGAATTAAGTGTTATGTGTCAGCTTGTTATGCGCCATATAGGTCATTGACTCAGATTTCAGCCTGTGGCAGAACTTAGTTCAACTGTATATACTATTGATGACTTAAGTTAAAGAAGTTGGGGGGGGGGGGGGGAAAGAGGGACATGAACTGGAGATAGATAAACCAACTATTGTTATAAACAGCCACACTTCAAAATGTTTAGCATAACATTCAAAACATTTTTCCACCACACCATCCAATTTTTCATCCATTTTATATTGTTTTTTTCTCCCTATTTTGTTTTGTGTTAAAAAAGAATTTACATTTTACATTGTAATTTAAATGTTTTTCTTGTTTTTGCCTTAGGTACAGGAAATGGTGTCAGTAGATGGATCAATGGGACTATTGATTTTGAAACATCGGCATTAAATATAGTTAGAGGTAAGCAGAATTAGCTTTCTAGTGCCTTCTTTACTTAGTAATCTTCTCATCTACATTTGTATAACCAAAATTGAGCCTACAATGGGACCCCACACCCACTGTTACATTGATTAATAGACCACTCTTTAAAAGCAAGTTTAAAATGATCTGCTTAATTGTTTTGTGTGCAGGTGAACATCATAGAGGCCAGATTTTTACAGTACACAGTGATGATAAATTTATATGTGTCAGTGCCCTAGTGTTTGGCTATGGAATGTTCTCAGACATGATCAAAAGAACTGATGAATTAAGGTGGATGAAAAGGGCTCGATATCCATGTAAGTCTACCAATAATTATTTTAATGTTTATTTTCGCTAAATGATTAATGATGTTCAAACAAACTGATATCACCAGTGTAAATTTTCATTTTTGGTTTCTTTTTTTTTACGTAGGTATTATTGATTAAGACATCAATTTTTTTATATTAATTATTTATTCTAACACTTTCTATGTCTTACATTAATGGTGCACCACCTCACCACCTCACCACCAGACTTGTATTCCTGTAACCAGCAATTTCATTATTATCTGGTGTCTTTTTTTTCTCAGATGCTGCTGTTGTAACCTTGTTTAAAAAGAAGAGACTTTTCAAATGTGAGTTAACATACTGTGTCTCGGATGAGAAAACAAGTCACATAAACAATAGGTGAGTTTTGAGTCCTCACATACATATGTAATGATTTTTTACATCTTGCAGATAATTATTAATATATTCATTCCCTATCAGTTTTTATTGACCTATAAAAATATAAAAAAGCTTTAATCAGATAAGTCTTAAACTTTACACATTCATTTATTATTGATTTTGTTTACTTATCATGGATAGTTTTAAAGTGCCGTAGTTAATATTCAATGTGTTTTCCAGTACTGAGGATGTAAATAGTGATGGAGACACACTATCAGGGAACCAGAAAGAAGGTAAACACTTTTGTTATCCACATACACTCATAAACTATAAGATGTCTTAATCAAAGCCTTATGATACTTAAGTAAAACAAAATTTTGTATTAATATTTTTGTTTTATACTCGAAAGTGTGAAAAATAAAAATAAAATTTCAATACCTTTGTTTCAAATTTTTACATTTATTTTTCCAGAGTGGTTGACGTATACAAAAAGCAATCACACTTACTGTGGTATATTCAGCTTCACCTGTGATACAATAGTTAATGGAGACAGTTTGGTGTTAAATCCATTTGGCACACATGTCCAACTTGGCATCGACACTGGCTGTGGCCAGATTGCCTTGTTGAAAAATTTACTCAAGTTTTCTTCAGGCAAAAAGACTTCAGTAAGTCAGGTCTCACAAATTTTATTTTTAAGCTAAGTTACAATTAATCACATGCCTCTCCTAAAAATATTAACAACTTTTTATCATTTTATTAGCTGCATTTTAATATTTTTAGTAATTTTGGTTTTAAGTACTATTTTCTAGATAAACAGGGCAAAGATTTGATTTTATGTGCTTTTTATCTGTATTTTTTAGAAGTAAAATTTTAATTATGTGTATTCCGTTTAATTAAAAAATGTTTTTCCTTCACTAGTCCACCACGCCAGAGAACCTAGACTTTATTTCTAACGTGACAGCGTTTAAAATCAAATTGCTGAGAGACGAGGAGTCTGAAGATCACCTGACAGGTGCACAGGCCCAGAGCAGGGAGCTGGAGAAGCTTCTAGACATTGACGGAGAAGTTGTTTGCTTGGAGAAACCAGAGATGGATGTCAGGTGACGATTTTTTCATACATCCCTAGTAAAGTAATATGGTATCATCATAGAGTTTATTCCTTCTTGGTTATGTCGTCAATAGGGAAAAAACTCCAGCAAAGATATAGCTTTTATGCAAGCTGCTGACTAGGGTGTAGTTATAATTTTCTTAGAAAAATTAGCCCTTATGAGAGGTTTCAGATATTAATTGGTGTCAATCTTAGCTGATTTATTAAAAGCAGGCTAAGCTAAGTTCCTGATGGTGATTCAAAGCCATTGACACTGTGAAGGGTGTCTAAATTCAGTGGCAATTAAAGAGCATTTATAACATTAGCTAGTGAAGCCTTTTCTAAAGATGAAGTGTGTTTTACCTGCCTAAAAAACACTGGAAACTTACACTGTTTGAGAAATGTTGTCCGTATAAGTAAATCTAATATGATGTATACATTGTAATCATAAACTTATTTTTATTTCAGGCTTCATGTTTCATTTGTTCCACTGTATGGGAAGGCTAAAGTTATCAAAACAGAATGAGTTAATGGATTATCAAAACGCTCAAGTAAAAAAAAAAAATTTCTCCGAACTCAATCATTTGTTATACTGTACAGTGTTGAAGATTGAAATATTAGGATTGGATTAGTTAGATCTCATATATAAAAATACGAAAACATAAAATGTTGCATTGAGAGTCTTGTGTGTGTCTTTGTACCAATATTTGTTCACGACTTGGTGTTTGAAATCACTCTATTTTTACACCAGACCTCCCCCCCTCCCCCTCTGTGCCTCTCTGTGTGCCTTTTTTTTGTTTTTCCTTTTAGTATTAAATGGCCTGCTGTCTCTGTACCAAGGTGTATCTAATATATAAAGCTCAGTTCTGTATGTAATGCATTTGTATATCGTTGGAATTGTACGAATTTAAGTGTTAGAAAATTATCGTGCGCACTTGTCTAAATTTATGAGCTAAAAAATTACCATTGAAAGTGTTGGGAAATAATTTTCATTTTTCAAATTACAGTAATAATTGTCGGCATGTTCATTAAACACAAGTTTTAAAAAAAATATCATCTTTTACAAAAATTCTAATTATGTCTTTATTTAGTCCTATAGCACTTACTTCCCTTTGATAAATTAGGAAAAACACAATTACTTCCCTTTATAAACCCATTGCATTCCGTGAAAATAATTTACTTTTTAATTACTTTGTTTTGGTGTTGGGAAAAAAAATAATTACATAATTAGCGGGGATTGATCAAGTGCAAATGTTGTAGGTATTTTACGGATAAGCTTGGAGTATTAAAATTGTTCATCAAATTGAAACAGGCGCGTTCGTTTAAGTGAGTGCAAAAGACTATGAATAAGTTGGGGTACTATAGTCGTTCATTAAGCTAAAACAGGTGATTCCGCCCCGGGCGTTTATGTTCGCGTTAGTGTTTTCTTTGTGTTTAGGTGGGTTTGCGTTAGTGGTTGCGTTTTGATTTGGTTCGTTTTTGTTCTTTCTTTTTTCGTTTTTGTTTGTGTTTTTTTTTTTTTGGGTTTGTATTTGTGTTTTTGGTTGGTTTTGCGTTTGAATTTGGTTTGTTTTCGTTTGCTTTTTCGTTGTTTTTTTTTTTTTTTTTTGTTGGTATTGGTGTTTGTGGTTGGGTTTGTTGTTAGGTTTTTGTTTTCGTTTGCTTTTTTGTTTGTTTTTTCTTTGTGTTTGTATTGGTGTTTGTGGTTGTGGTTGGGTTTGTTGTTAGGTTTTTGTTTTCGTTTGTATTTGTAATTGTGTTAGCGTTATGTTTGCGTTTTGTTGTTTTGGTTTTGGTTGGTTGTGGTTTGGGTGGGCAATGCCGGGTTTATGATGATTACTAAACACACAGGTAATGGTCTTTAACAGGAAGGTTTTTCACAGAAGCCAGAGCAGGGCCTGGCCGGGACGGCTAGTATATATATATATTTGTATGTTATTGAAAGGTGTACCATTTATATATATAGTGGACCATTATGTTTCTATTGTTGAAGTTGTTGGAACGTTCATACAATATATAGTATTTTCAATGAAGTTCTCTTATAATACATTTGTTAACATAGTGTAAATAACATTCCAGTATAAATTCTGCTTGGTATTAAACAACAATTTTCTGTCATTTTTTATTTTGTTTTCTAAAAAAAATATATCTTTAAGTTATTTTTATGTAAGGTTGGGTCAAAAAAATGTTGAAAGAAAGTGATAATAAACTAATTGTTTACATTAGTTTTAGTGCTTATAACCAAAGTTTACAAATTGCTGGGTCCAAGAAAATAATTATGTAAACAGACAAATTTTAATAGCACAACCCTTGATTGTTTACATTAGAACACAAGAACAAGTGCTTATAACCAGTGTTTTTTTTTAATTTTTATATGTGACATGTTCCAAATAGGATAAATACGTGAAGAATATAGTATGTTTGGTGTATTACTTTTGAAATGGTTTTAATTTCTCAATAAATTCTCTTGTTATTGTGTTACTGGCAAAGTTGAGTTTGTAGATGTATTGTTTATCATATCCATTGAAATATAACCTGAAGTAATTTAGTTAAATTAGTTTAATGTTGATGTTAATGAGGGTTTACATTTTTTTGCATTGATGTCCAATGTATTTCATATTTTCAATGTTAGAAATTATTACTGTTGGAAAATGTTTTAAAATGTTAATTAATTAACCAGATGCTTCATTTGTCAACGTTTCATTGAAATTTAAATGTTTATAATTTTGTAATACTTTCTCAGCATTATAATTGTTGGGGAAGGTACTGGTACTTAACTTTAGTACAAGATATTCACCCTTTAATCTTCCTGGTACTTGAGTTACCAAAAATACTCATACAGGAAGATCTCTTTATGTAGCAATACTGAAGTACTTGACACTCACTGAGTGAGCTTCTACTCTGTTAAATTTTTTTTAAATTTGCAATAATAAAATTGTGGAATGTTAAAATAAGTTTTTTTTAGAGCTATTATGTATTTATTTAACGATTCAACCAATTTTTCTTATCTTGCATAATTTAGCATATGGATAATTTTTTTTGGGACATTGCTGTTTTAGCCTATTGCCATAATTGTAGAGCAGAACCATACACGTCTAATTATCAAGATCAAACATTACTGACCAGAACACACATACAATTCATTCATTTTCTGGGGTTAGCCAAATAAAACTAAAACAAACTACTACTGGTCTCTGGATATGAAACAGCCAAATAGAACAAAGAAATATTTATTAAATTATACAGATAACATTACTTTGAAATGTAAACGTGCAAGTTCATAAGTTAGCATGAATATTCAGTATTAAAAATGCACTCATAAGTAATGAAAGGCTGGACCTAAATCAATAAGTAACATGTGGTTTTAAGCTGTGGTGTACATATTAAATTTCACTTGAAATATAATGTTACTAAGATTACAACATAATTTAATTTGATTAGGAGTTTATTACATTTTTTAACATTGCTAACGCAACAGATGTCATTCCCATTTATTTTTTTCGCTTTATTTCACTCATTGCTGGTAAATAGTGAAAAATATTTTGTTCATGTATTCAAGTAACTAATTATATAATATTGGTGTCATTCTTTCTAGTCTTTGTAAGTCCTTTCTGGAGCATTTTCAGAATGCTGAAAAAGTAATTTCTATGAAAATTCTAATATTTAACAAAAGTTATTGTTACTGACTAATGTGTCATCAGGGCATATTCAAATCTCCCCCCCCCCCCCCCCCCCCAGTATTACTATTCTAACCCCCTGGACTTGAGTCCTAGTGGTAATACCTTCAGAAAAATGTGTCGATACTGTCCTGGTGTCATAATTATAAGAAGTGACAGTGGTAAAGTAAGAGCTATGGCTTTATTTGATATGGGGACACCCCCCCCCCTTGTGATGACTGGTAAAGTAAGAGCTATGGCTTTAATTGATATAAAAGCCCTCCCCTGTGATGACTGGTTCATCTGCAGCCTGACATTTTCTCAGCCATTCTTTTTCCAGTGTTGGGTGAGAAAACAGGTCACAGGCAGCATATCAGTGGGGTTGTGTAGAATCATATTGCGGAGCTTAAATTTACTTTTTTTAAAAAGTAGTGTAATTGCTAAGTTCACATGTTTAAACACGTGTTTAGCTAATAAAGTGTCAGTTTGATGAGCTGGTCTTGCAAACATAGCATACGAAGAATCAAGTAAACTTCCCCTCCATGAAATTTCTGCTATCAGGAAAAACTATTTGTTTTTTCTAAATAATACTTGAAAAACAGTGTTTGGGAACACATTCTGTTGTATTTAAATCTTTTACATGGTTTATTTCTTTCTTTTATTTAGCTTTCAATCTAAGTACTAAAATTTTTAGTACTTTTACTTTAATTTTTTTAGAGATTTTTTTTTCCTTTGAAGAAAAGTTAGCTAAAAATTCTGAACAAAGATTTTAAAGGTTTTAAAAATTTGCATTTATATTTTTATATAGGCTAACATTTCATTGAAACTTATAATTTTCTCCTGGAAAACCCTGAGGTGTTAGGAGAAGTGTGTTCATCACCCAGCAGGATAATTTGGAATTATGTTATCCCTTACAACTGCAAACTGTAATATTTCTATTTGGTTCACTTTTTTTCCAGCTAACATATCATTTTGATGCTCTATATAAACATCATTCAAGTTTAGGTTGTATTCATCCACCACTGTGTCTCTCTTAATGTTCATACAGTTCAAGTCAAGAAGAAAACACTTTAAATTTTTTTTTTTTTTTTTCAAATTAAAACATTTTAGGTTTTGTATTCAAATTTTTATAAGATAAGTGTTTTTAAAAAAATATAATTTGCAAATGTAGTAATAATAGTATGATTCTAACTTGATGGGACACAATTTTAAAAAGTGTATACTATAATTATAAAAACAACTAATTTTGTGTATATTTGTTGCTCAACAAAATGTGCATTTTTGTTTTGAGAAGATAATGCATTCACATTTTTGCTTTTAATTCACTTTCAATGCAACTTTTATTTTTTTTTATAAATTTGCACATGGCTGTCAAAACAGGTCCCCATACTTCCATACATTTTCTAAGTTAAAATAATTTAATTTGACCAAATAATTAAACAATGTTATTATTAATTTTTTTTTTAATGGACTATCGAAGGGCAATAACACAACATTTATTTAGAAAACTTAAGAGTTGATCCACCAACTTTCTTTTTTGTATTACAATGGAGCATCTATATCTTGTGCCCTACACAATTTTGGCGATCACAATGCTATTGACCTACCATTTTATACAAGAATTAGTCCTCTCTGGCTTCATTTTATTTGTATAAACAGACTTTAGACAAATAATTTTAATGGTTAACATTTTTTGTACCTGACCAATGCTGCATATAATAAATTTGTTGAAATTTTATGTATTCTAGAAAAGTTTAGGTCTTGAACGTAATGTTAGTGCTACCATTCCCATGTAACAGTAGATTATCAGACAATTTTAAAAATATGAGCTTCAGTACAGTAGTTAAAACATACGGTTTATATTTTTTTAAAAACTTGATGTATGATACATAAAAAATAAGTTTGTGTGTTTGTCTAATTTTAATATTTTTAAAAACTTTTTTTTTTTTTTTGTGAATATGTTTTTGATGCACTGTATTTTTGCTTTGATTTATACACACATAGATTACTGAGCTTGGGTTTATGAATTTTTAAAGTATTAAATTAAATTTTAATTTTTCTTTATAAACTTCTGAGTTGTGTTTGTATGTGTACTGTTTATCTTGTATCACTAAATGTGTAATGTAGTCATGCGAAGGAGCCTGTTCGGTCCACTGGTTAAGCATAGTGCACATATGAGTTTTTGGAGTTTTTTTATATTGTTTCAATAATTTGTGTTATGAGTCAAGGTCAGTATCTTATAACAGTTTTTACAAAATTATTAGTGTAGTAAAAATTCTGTTACAGAAAAAAGGTTGAATAAAGTGACACGTCTGGCTTACACATTCTTACTTCCAACACACTTGGATAGGGGTTGGGTATGATTGTCAAATTTTGTGCTAATCCACTGGGTTATTCCACTTTTTGGCAGCATCTTGATCTAATAGAATAATACACTCTGGTACGATTCTAAACATTAAGGTTTGCATGAAAGTATCTCATACCTAGTAAGAAAACTTCAACATCATCTAGATCTAGCTAGAGGTTACTGGCAATTTTTCGAAATTTTGATCTGGCTATTCTTAAAATTTTTTATTTTTTTTGTGTGTTCGTAACTGAGTCGTCTATTGAATTAATTTAAATCATTCTAGACTAGATTAGAAATTAGATCTAGATCTAGATCTAGATTAGATTATACACGATCCTACTTAAAGTAAATAATTCAGTTTTTAAGATTCAATATTGAACTTGCTTATTTACATAATATGAATAGACTACCTCTTGCTTAATATTTTAATAACACAGGCAACGGGCCGGGAAGGGCTTAAGTTAAGACTTTAAAACTGAATTTAAGACAAGAGATTCAGTCAAGACGAGGCGGTTAAGAACTTGACACTTAGTCACTTAGGAATTGACTATATTGCTATGTGGGTCAAGGCTGGGTGTTACGAAATGCGCAGTGGCATACATTTTGCAAGACTAAAAAAAAGAGCATAATGGAGCCATCTGTCATTAACAAATGACGTTACACTCATAGGGGGAGATTGGAGGGGGGGGGGGGGGGGGTGGTTCCACATCTTGTGACTTCATAGTGTTGCTTTTTATAAAGTAATGTTAGAAACTGAATTTTAGTGGGTTTTTTTAAAACCTTGCTTTCTGTAGCCTGTATTCAAATAATTATTTTACCTTTTTGCTCCTTGCAGAAAATAGGGCCTCTGACAAATCTTTCCACTGAAAAGAGTGCCAGGAGCCCGTGGGGAGTGGAAAGATAAATGTTTAAAAAAAACCACATTTTTTTAGGGGGGGGGGGGGGGTTGTAGACTCAGGTGCAACATCATTTTTGGGAGGAGGGGTTGGTTCATGTTTTTGTGACAGTGTGGAGGGGGGGGGGAGGTAAAAATCATCCAAAAAATGTGACATCATTTATGGATGACCCCCATCCTTATTTATAGCAAATTTTTTGTTTGGGAATAGGAGCTGGTATCTATTATTAGCTTCAATAAAATCCTACACATCACAGCCACTTAAGAGTAGACATCTGGTGCCATTATAGTAGCAGTATCACAAGCGGAAGTTCATTCATTATTGATACTCAAAGAAACCTTTCTTTTTAAATACATTTCTGTAAATTGATAAAAAATTTGCATTTCAGAATGTCTGTGGTAAGTGCAGAAAACAAATGCGGAGAAGGTGGTGATCAAACTCAGCACAATTACTCTAAAGAGCAGCATGGAGTTTCTCTTGATACTGATACTCCAACAACAGAAGGGGAGAGTAATGATACGCCAGGAGAGATAATCCTGGAAGGAACAGTGAAAATTGCAGGGAAAGAAAAACACATGCAGTTAAAAGCTAATGGGCTTGAGATAGCAGTGAATCCCAGGAAAGACAAATCAAAAGGTTGCTTGTGTTGTACATTAAAATATAAAATTAATTAGTAAGGACATAAGTTAATACGATTATAAAAACAATTAATAAGGACCTGCTGTAATGGGGGGTTTTAGAATTTATCTGTGATGAGGGGGGAAGATTTGGAAAGTGTAAAGAAACTGAATTTTTGCTGTTTTTTGTTAATTGTAAAAAAAATAAAAAATTAATTACTATTCTCAATGCTGACATAGCTCAGAAAATGTTTTATAAAAGAAACAAAAATTGCAATTTTGAGGGGATTGAAGGGAGGGGGTTGTAAGCTGAGGGATGAGGGTCTGCCTTTTTTTGAAAACGGGGAGTGAGGGAAGTTTAAAATAGGATGACCCCGTTATGTGTAATAGAACTAGAGTGAGTTTTATGGTCATAACTTAGATTAGGGTTTTACCCCAAGTCTGGTAGTAATACTAGCAAAATAAAATAGCATTAAACATGTTTTGTCAACATTTTTAAAAGTTTAATTTTTTTTCTTCAAAATGTATTTCAGTCATGTTTATCCCGTTGCGTGAAGTAATCTCTGCATCGATTGATACTACACCTTCAGATCAACAAAACTCATCTTTTGTGGTTCATCATGTACAACACAAATCAAACTGCAGCATGAAAGTAACATCATTAAAAATTGAAGATTTGGGAAAACAGGCTGAAAGATGGGTTAGCACCATACTTGATCAATGTCTCAAAGGTATTTTTAATATCAAAATAACGTGGTGTAGGTAATAATACAGGTTGTAATATGAGTTAGCAACATTCTTGATTAATGTCACAAAGATTTATTTTTTAAGAGCAGAATAACTTAGTTAAAATCATTAGTCTATGTTGATAGATAGAGTTTTTTTTAAAATATTGTTGCATATGTTTTCAGTTGATGGACGCCCTCATAAGCTTTTTGTCCTCATAAATCCCATTGGTGGAGCTGGCAGAGCCAGGCAGATCTACCACAAAAGTGTGGCCCCTATCTTTGAGCTAGCACAGATAGCTACTAAAGTTAAAGGTTTGGCTTTTTTTTTGAGAAATATTAAGTATTTTGGTACATTATCTCAGACACATTTCACACTTCAGCCACACAGGTGATTTGTTTTCAGAATTACTGTTGCAATTGTTTTTCAATTACTATGATGGTAAAACAATAGTGTTTCATTTTCTGGAGTGATTTTTTCTGGGTTTTGAAACAAATATATTAATCTAAGTTTTAATTATTTTTTTTATTTAATCTTAATTTTTTTTTCTAACTTCAGAAACTGATAAGTCCAAACATGCCTTAGAGATTGGAGAAACTCAAGACTTTTCATCGTTTGATGGGTAGGAAATTTATTCAAAGGATTTTAATACTCAGTGCTGTGTTTTTGTACAAGCTTTTGTTGTTTCAAATTTGATAGTATTGTACGCCAATGTCTAGCTTTGGTTTTGGTTTTGTGTTAAGTTTTAGGCTAAGATGGATGCTTAGGTTTTGGTATTTTTCTTCAAGTTAGGATTAAAGTAGTATATAGTATATAGGTATAGAATTCTAGTTAGGGTTAGGATTCTAACTTGAGGGGGGGGGGGGTAATTCCTCCAGGGGGGGGGGTAATGTCCTGTAGCCATACAAACTTAGCATTAACACTAAATTGCAACCAACTCTTGTACCAGTTCACTGGTAGATCATATCATCACTACATGTAAGCTTTGCCAATTAATACATCTTTTAATAAGACTTCTGTTTTTACAAAAATAACATGTTCACATTCATAGAACTTCTACTCCGTTCTTTTTCAAATTGGGAGATATTTTCTCCTGCCTAGATTCTGAATTCATGGGACGGAGTGGTCTAGCGGTAGAGAGCTGGTCTGCTAACCCGTATGTCTCGAGTTCGAATCCGGGTTCAAGTCAGTAGATCGTCCCTGAGTCCACCCAACTCTGATGGGTATCTAACTCACGTTAGGGAAAGTAAAGGCGGCTGGGCATAGTGCTGACCACACTATCTCTTCAAATGCCGAGGTCACAGAAACAAGTGAACTCTACTTCACTTGCCCCATAGACCGTCAGGTTTGAAAGGGAAACTTTCCTTTACTTTTACTTAGATTCTGACTTCAGCCTGCTTTTTTAAAGGGTTAACTTCTCTAACCTTTTCCGCTCAAGAACAATTTGCAATTTGTTTTCTTGTTTTTCTGATCAAGATGGGTAACTGTCCCTAGCTACTACTCTAGCTTCATCTGCCCGGGGTCCAAACTGCAGACTTTTGGAGTTTGCAGACTCCCCCCCCCCCTGCCCCCACCGTCCCCTTTGTAGAACAAATCTGACTTTTTTTTAAAATGTGTAATTAGACAGATTTCTTATCTTTTATCACCGTCTTTTAACAATAAATGTAAATTAGATGTTTTCCTGTATTTCTCAGAGTTGTATTAGTTGGTGGTGATGGACTGTATCAGGAGTTTCTACAAGGGCTCACAATACAAACACAGAAAAAAGCTGGTGTCAACTACCACAGTCCAGACACCAAGTTTGTTCCAACTCCAACCCCCATTGGGATCATTCCTGCAGGTTTGAAAGTCAAAATGTTTTTTATATATTATAAGGCTACATTTTTAAAGAACCTTTCTTTTAGATTTTATTGCAGTTTTTACTTGTCAATTACCAGGTATATTATGGGACGGCATAGTCAAATAGTAGAGCGTTTGACTGTTAACCCAAAAGTCTTGAGTTCAAAATCTTAGTTCAAGTCCATATGAACAGAGCTGTCTTAATACAGTTTTATGTATCTTTACTGTCAGGTTAGTAAGTAAGCAAGTAAATAAAGTATCCTTTTGAACCTGACAGTTCATGAGGTAGCAACTTTGGATAATGTGTTCAGCACTATGCCCATCTGTCTTTACTTTTCCTAATGTGAGTTAGGTTCCCATTATAGCTGGGTTAACTCGGGGACGTCTTACGGAATTGAACCCTGGATTAGAACTCAAGACTTGAGTGTTAGCTGTCGTACATTCTACAGTTCGATCACACCGTTCCATATCAGGTTAGTAAATGCCACTGTATTCTAGTCTTACTTTATTCTATGTTCTCGAGTTTTAAGATAGATAGATTAGACTGTTATCCTCTTAGTTTTGTGATGATATTTCAGTAAAGTTATTATTGTTACTTATAACGAGCCTTTGTTTTTTAAAGTCTAGAGTTCTGTTACTAGTTTTTGGTTGTGTTCATATGTCTTCTGATGTACTGCACATTTAACTATCTTTTCTTTTTCTGTAACTTCAAAAGCATCTACCAACCTTGCATCTTCAGGTTTTAGAAGAGCTTTCTAGCACTGGGTTATTTTTCTCTTAGTATAGTATTTTATTTCTAATGTGAAAACTTGTGGCATACAATAAGTGTATTTAAATTATGTAATGATGTAATTGTAGGTACAGGAAATGGTGTTGGTAGGTGGATCAATGGTTCATCTGATCCTGAAACATCTGCATTAAGCATTGTTCGTGGTAAGAAAATGTCTTACAAGAACTTTATTTACAAGCATTCTGAACTTTACGATAAACCTAATTTTCTGAATTAAGAAAGAAAATAAATTACATTCTTATTATTTAAATATTTAAAAATATATATTGAAGCTCTTATTGCCATTTATCACTCTATATTTGTCAAGTTATTATAATAGAAAATGTGTAGGGAAATGCAAGATTTTCATACCAATTTTAAAATTGTTTTATTCTGGCTATAACTGGGTGTGAGCCACTAAAAAATGTTTAAAGTACAGCATAAAAAGTTTTTTCTGCAGGTGAACAGCATAGAGGCCAGATTCTTACAGTACACAGTGATGATAAATTTATTTGTGTCAGTGCCATGATGTTGGGCTATGGGCTGTTCTCAGAAATAATAAAAAGAAGTGAAGAGCTAAGATGGATGAAAAGGGCTCGATACGCATGTAAGTTTATTTTATCCAAATTATTTCTTTAAAAGAAACTTTTTAGCGCAATTTCCATTCTGGAGAATTGCGTTTATTAACCCGTCATTTCTGGATGTATGTATGGATGTGTGTCCGCAGCTTTAAGTCGTATCTCCTCCAAAGCAATTATGTTAAGCAAGTTACAAGGATGAACATAGGCCAAAAAAATTCCGGGTTTCTTTCATGGATTTCCCGGAAAAGCCAAAAAACCTCGAAAAAATGCAGTTTTTGGCCCATATCTCGGCAACCAGACCACTTAGCGACTTGAAACATTTACCAATCGATTCCTGCTATAATTTAGAACAATATTGCCCAAGAAAGTTTTCAAAAATATCCTTTCGTTCGGTCACAAAATTTTTTTGAATTAATTAAAATTTGGACCGAATTAGTAGGCATGTTTATCCAACCACACCACACGCGTCATCACGTTCAATAGCTGCGCCATCACGTTCAATGGCTGCGCCATCACGTTCGGTAGCTAGGCGCACAATGGTTTTTAGTCATGTAACTCTATTGTAAATAAAACATGTAAAATACTGAAAAAAAAAATTAATAAAAAACGTCTTAATAACTAAACAATGGTTTTACTAACCCTGCTCTTGATTTACGCTACGACAGAGCTATTTTTAGATAACATAAGGAAATTGCGCTAAAATTGTCACTAGACTTTTTAATTACCTTGTTTTGTGTGGCAGGTGTATGTTAATTTAAAACTAATTTAAAAATGCTAGTTTTGAGACATGGTCTGCCAAAGCAGAATTTTTCATCTTCAATGTCACAGATTTTTTTATGTTTTGATAAATGAACTAAAATTCCTGCCTAAAATATTATTCCTTTTTTTCTTTAGATGTCTTACTAGCAGCTTTGTTAAAGACAAAAAGAGTTTTTAAGTGTGAGTTAGCATACAGGGTCTCAACAGAGAACAACAAAAGGTAATTTCAGAAGGTTTTGGTTTGAATTGAAAATACAAGGTTCTTTTTCAACATGCTACTGCTTGTAATTGTTATTAACACAGTACTCGTGTAAAGTAAAAAAAGTTCCCTTTTCAAACCTGACAGTCTATAGAGCAAGTGAAGTAGAGTTCACTTGTTTCTGTGACCTCGGCATATGAAGAGATAGTGTGGTCAGCACTATGCCCAGCCGCCTTTACTTTCCCTAACGTGAGTTGGGTACCCATCAGAGTTGGAAGGACTCAGGGACGGTCTACTGACTTGAACCTGGATTCGAACTCGAGACTTACGGGTTAGCAGTCCAGCTCTCTACCACTAGACCACTCTGTCCAGTACTCATGTAAGGGTAAAATAAATTGAAATATTTGATTATTATGGGTACAGGAATGGATGAGGCATGGCTATGTTGTTAAAATGGTAATACATTGTTGTACTAGTGTGTTTTCACTAAGAGGCTTCTGTGATTATCTGGTCAGTTCAGGGTTAAGACTTTGTGAGTACCTGTCGAATCACAGGGTTAAACTGAGAGTACATGCTCAGTCTAATGTAAGTACCTGGCCAGTTTCTTACTTTACTTAACTTGAATCAGATATCCATTAGAGCTGGGTGGACTCAGCCGTGTTTGACTGCCTCAAGTACATGTATATTTATGTAAATAAAGTTTAAAAATGTTTATCTGGAAATATTGTCATACTGCAGTGTTGAGAATGCAAACACAGACACAAGTACAGAACACCATCAGGATGAAGGTTGTTAGCTTTGCATATCTTGTACTTTAGACAATTATTTTATCTGTACAAAGACATACTTATCAATATCAGTACTTAGCCTTAACTAAGGTTGAAGCTAATGCTAATAGTTTTTTATGTAAGCTGCTTCACAACAAATATTTACATTTGTGATTAATTGCTTTTTCTTTTTAAAAATAGCATTAACCAAATCTAAAAATTTGACTGAACCATTTGATTCTATTCCTAACCCCTCTCATTTTCTCCTAAATCTAACATCTAAACCAAATCTTAACTTACAGTTAAAATTGCACTAAAAACTAAGCATTACAGATACTTAAAACCCAATTCTCAAACTGTTATTGTAAAAACTAACTTTAACCTGCCAAAGATCTCAGTAATTAAGTTTTAACTTATTAAATCTCCCAATGCATAAAAAAGCTCTTATCTATTTTTCACTTTTACAAAGATGTATTTTTTATCTTCTATAACATAAACTAATAAACTTACCAGAAATAATTGTATAATAAAAGGACTTAAATTTTTTTTAAATCTAAGAGTGGTCGATGTATACAAAAAGCAACAATCATTACTGCGGCATATCCTGTGGAACCCTTCATACGAAATCTGATGGTGGCAAGCAGTTCTTGAGCCCTTTTGCCACACACGTCCAACTTGGCATAGACTCTGGCTGTGGCAAGATTGCAATGTTCCGGAACATGTTTCATATTACTCCAGATGAAGCCACTTCAGTAAGACACACAATTTAACCCTTTATGTGTGACTGCTAAATATATTTAACTTTTTACATCTGCCACTACTTATTTTGATTTATATAACTGGAAATTAACTGACAAAATATCTCATATGCTGGTTAAATCAAAAATATTTCATATGCTGGTTAAATCAGGGTTAGAATAGCCAGTTGCATTTGCTGTATTGGAATGAATGGCGTCTACTCAATCGTTATTAACAGGAAAAGTGTAAATGTTTGCATATTTCAATTGCTAAATAAAACAGCTTTTCAAAACATGTTCTGCATACAACACTTATATATTTAGAAATATTGTTTTCTTGAAAGCCCAAAACTGAAAAATTTAATTCGAAAAACATTTTGTGTTGTTAAGTATTTTTAGTTCCAATAATTCATTTTTTATAATATACAAATAGGCCTATAATTTTTATGATATATATATATATATATATATATATATATATATATATATATATATATATATATGTTTTTTAACTAAACAAGAAGTGTTTGTTATATATTGTTTACTGTTAATATAATAGCCAATAATAAAAAAAATCATGCTACACAGCGCAATCAACTGTAGCAAAAATGTATTCTTTTACGCTAATACACAATATCAAATATTTTTATTTGCTTAGTAGTCCTACTTGAATACTTAACAAGTGTCATAATTAAGTAATCCATTTTAAATTCCCTTTCAGTCAACTCCTTCATCAAATCTAGAATTCATAAACAATGTGACAGCCTTTAAGATCAAAGTACTGCATGATGAACCAGGAGACAATCTGACACAAGAACAAGCTCGAGTGAGAGAGTTGGAGAGAATTGTAAACGCAGATGGGGAGATAGTTTACGTTGACAACCCAGACATACTTGTCAGGTAATGGTAGCAATTGAAGTTTCAGCTTTGGTGCTTGGGCTTCTAGCCTGAAACCAATAGCGGACCTTACGAGAATTTTCGATTTTTTTTTTTTTTTTTTTGGTGCTGTTATTATGAAATTCATTTTCCATTTGTGCCCAAGACATATGGGGCAGATGAATTAGAGTTCATCTGCTTCAGAGAAGGGATAGTGTGGTCAGCACTATGCCCAGCCGCCTTTGTTTCCCTAAAGTTAGTTAGGTACCCATCAGGGCTGGATGGACTCAGGGACGTTCCACTGATTTGAACTCGAAACTATCGGGTTAGCAATCTAGCTCTCTAACGCTAGATTATACCTTCCCAATTATAAAATTCCACTTCTAAAAATTGGGTGGTGTAATAAATAACTTGTCCTATTAAAGTATTGATAAGTTGAAAGTAGTCAACAATTTTGACAACCCCGGAAGTTTTTAAAAGATTAAGTCCTGATAGTCTTGTCCTGATAAGAAAAGATGTAAGCAAAAGTGCACAGTTTATACATTTCCAAATTTTAATTCAAACTTCCTGCACACTAATGTACATCAACATGTATGGTATTAACCTGTTTTTATTTTTTTATTTTTATACTAATTAATGTCCATCTCACATTTTAAACCTTTGTTGTATTTAATAAACATTTGTGTTTGAGTTTAACTTTGTATTTATTTCAGGCTTCATGTTGCTTATGTTGCACTTTATGGGCGTGATAAAATAAAGCAGTCCTTTTGGTAATTCACAAGTTTCTTTGGCTGTTGAACTGTTTAACATCAAAGATTCTCCCTGTAATCAGGGAAAGAGAATTTCACCACAGTTCGACGTATTGACAACTTTTTGTGTAGGCATGATGGTAAATTTTATAAAATTTATATAAAAGGCTGAATTTATAGGCATTAATAATTATAAAATGGTTATTAATTAGAAACGAAGAAAGATCATTGCTTTGTTTTTTTTTGCTTTCTTTTATTATTCTCTACCTTGATAAATATTTTTATACCATTTTTACATATATGTTCTATGGTTGAACATTATTTGTCTGGTGCAATTCTTTCAAACCCAATTGATAATCAAAATAAAAAAGAGGCAGTGGTGCATTTTTCTACCACAAACTCCTCAGACTTAATGCCGGAATTTTATAAACTTTGACCTCACTTTAACTTAATTAAGGCCTCATTCAGTATTTAAACTTTTATTACTTTTTAAAAATATATATATGGAAAAAAAAATTATGCTTCAAAATTTCTCAGAATAAAATATTTGTGAAAGCTGGTTACTCTATGTAATTTAAACGAATGTTGTCACTATATTCTTCTGGTAATTATTTTACCACTATTTTTGTACACCAGTTTACCTGTGTTAAAATTCATGTGATTGTTACGCGTTATATAAATATGTATGTATAAAAGTGCAATACAATTATATATATTAAATCCAACATTTTTATGAAGATTTCTATATGTACTTTTGTTTCAAAAATTGTATTTGACAATCTGTTAAACTTGTTTCCAACGTATTGCAGTTGTAGTGTCAAAACCTTTAGTTTACTTGTTTACAATAATGAATAACAATCATTTTTAATGTAGGATATAGCAATTATAAAATGAACACATTTAATTGGAATTTATATGTGTACTTTATATAAAATATGTGCTTATTGTAAGTGCCCTTGATAATTCATGTATTAAAATCTAATTTTAAGTATTACTTTTACACTTAAATGAATTTGAGTATTTGGATTAGTGTTCTTGTGCCTGTCTTGTCATTACTGTTCACTCTCCTGTGTGAGTTGTTGTGGGTTATAACATTGTCAGCATCCAATTAGTTCCAGCTTTAGTATGAGTATAAAATGATGCCTGAAAATGTGAATCAGGGTCTTACTCCAGTGTATATGCCTTAATGTTTCTAGCCTACAACCAGGTCAGTCCATGTTGGTTTTGTGTTTGATTTTATTATTAGGTAACATAGTAGATGCCCCTGTTTTGTGTATCATTGTGTTAATGGTCTTGATTCCTCAGTATAGACTTTCTCTTCAGTTTTCCTGTATTAAGTATAGTTCATTAGAGTTATATATACAGAGGCGTAGCTAGGGGAGGGCGGGTGGGGCACCAAAATGGGTAGGACCAGCATGAATAACTATATATAGCCTGTATATAATTGGAAGGGGGGGGGGCGAAAAATTGAAAGTTCGCACCGGGCGCCGGAATGTGTCGCTATGCCTCTGTATATATATTGTTTTCTTGATGAGTGCTAGTGTTCTCTTACCAATTTGTGGTTGTGTCTATGCACTTTGACAAGCTTGACTGTTGACAACTATTATTACTTGGCTGCTATTTGTTATTCTGAGATATTTTTACAAATATTTATTTTGTAAGTACATTTTTAATATTGTTTAATTTACTGTTATTTGATTCATTTTGTAATTACTTGATGATGATAAATATAATATTTTTTGGAAAGATTCATTTTATTGTCTTATTGAGCTATTTTATGCAAGATATATGCCCTACTGAGTATGTTTTTCTTACGACTGCTAACCTGAAAGGGTTAAGTTTGGAATTCAGACTTGAGTCTGTAGGACATCCATGTCCACACAGCTCTGATGGGTACCTGACTCTAGTCCACCCAGCTCTGATGGGTTCCTGTCTCTAGTCCACCCAGCTCTGATGGGTTCCTGACTCTAGTCCACCCAGGTCTGATGGGTTCCTGACTCACGTTACAGCAAGGTACTGACCACACTATCCCCTTGTATGCAAAGGTCATTGATACAGATGAACTCTACTTCATCTGCCCTATGTGTCTTAGGCATGAAGTGGAAAAAATAATGATGGGACAAAACAAAGATAAGTAGACCCTGCATAACTTTAGAAAGATAAAGTAAATGTGGCTTGGCATAGTGCCGACCTCATGATTCTTTTATTATTAGAGGTCAGTGACATATTAACTACTTTATCTGCCCTGTCTAATGGACAGTCAGTTTAATATAACTTATATCTAATCAGTGCACTTTGGAAAGTGGCCAACAAAAGACGTATCACCTCCCCAAGACTTTAAGCTTGAGAGATAGGCTAACAACCTGTCCATTTAATAATTATTGTGACAGAAACACAAGAAAAGGCTAAGTATTAAACAAAATGAGAGGCGAGTACAGAGCTCCATGAAGGAGACTAATGAAGCTGTGTGGTGAATGTGAAAAAATAACCGGCTAGGCCAATCACCCTACTCAAACCAAAGAAAAATTTTTTTACCTAAAAGATACTACAGAAAGTCTGAACTCTAAAAAAACCTGGCAGATGCGCCATAGCTACAAAAGTTATTGCAATTTTTTTTAATAAGCTTCAAATTTTGGGACTAATTAGTTAAGTGTAGTTGAATACTTTTGGGGAAACTAGACTGCAAACAATCAGGCGAAACTCTTCTCTGGCAAGGAAAAAGACATGTGTATGGCGTATTCTTCTTTTTGGTTTATTTGGCAGATGTTTGGTCTTTTACATAAACGTCGTTGTTGTCAATGCTTTGTCGCTTTTAAACAAATGGCTTCGGGCTGCTCATTGTGTAGCTTAAGTTGGTTCTACCATGATAGCACGTTATTTTTAAGTTGCTAGTTCAAATTCTATTTTGTATAATTAATCCTGATTACTTATTTAACCCTGTTGGGTATTATGGCGTTACTGGTAAGAACTGGTTAGGTTTATATAAGGATTCAAATTAGTATTTTACTCAAGGTTTTAGCTAGATACCTTTTAGTAGTAGTAGGTAGTATATTAAACATGTGTATGTATATTTATGTATATATTTTCCATGCATTTTATTCATGCTTCTTTATTAGTTTCTTTTCCTCCCTCCCCTTTCCAGTAGGTTGCATTTGCAACTTGACTGGGTGTTTTGTATGTAGTGTTTTTTATGTATTGTTTTGTTTGATATTTTGTGTTTGGTGCGGATATTAGATGGCGTTTCGGTTGCCGTAGGGGATAAAAAGGTTGTCTGTGTGGGCAGAGCCTAGACTATCGAGGCATCGAAGGATCATAATATTCCATCGAAAGTTGTGTGTGTTTGTTTGGTGTTTGATTAGACTTTTGTTTAGGATGTTTTGGATTTGAAATAATGTTTACGTGTTTTTATTGATGGGTTTTTTAAACAAATGAAAATAAAACTATATATAAGCTTAATTAATAATTATTTTTGTTTTTTTTAACAAGGTTAAGATTTTAAGATTTTTGGGTTTGACCATGGTTGCACAGACCGGACAAGTTTAATTAGAGAGAATAGTATAGTTATCCCCTTAGCAGGGCTTACAAATATATGGCTTATATATATATATAGGTATATATATAGGTATATAATATATACATATTTATAAATATATATACGGCTAATATATATATTTATATGTATATATATGAATATATATTTTATATACACGTATGTATAATTATACATATAGGTCTATATAATAGATTTTTTTTTTCGGGGGGGGGGGGGGGGGGGTGACATTAGGAGCTGATGTTCTGAACATTGACTAGGCTGAGTCCGACACTCAGTGTTCTGTCAAGGATGTACCGTTCTCCTTGATCTAGCTGTGTTTTTCCGTTTATTATTCCACTAAAAAAAAGCGTGAAATTAATAATTAACGACGGTCCGTTTATTATTCCACAAAAAAAAAAAGCGTGAAATTAACGACGCACTAGCCTCGATCAGTGGTCGATAGAATATCCTTTTATGTAAGAAACCCGATGAAATCAATGGTGTCTGAAATTAATCGGAGCGAAAGACCACCACCAGGTTACTTATATGGATTCTCAAGCCACAGACAGACATTAAGACGCTTACTGCAGCCATGAAAATCCTTCTTAATAGGTTGTTCCCTCTCACGAGTTGCAGGATGTATGGCCTGCACTGGTCGTGAGAGAAAAAAAACTTATCAGGGTACTCAACTAATTCGAATCCACAGATACACGACCTTGACACTGCTACAGCAGTAAAACAACAGAGGATGCCTGTTCTCGCAGGCCTATGCGATACGTTCCGCTCCACTAGGCTTATAGAGCATGGTGGAAGCATTTTGTCAAGGGCCCTGTAGCAGTTATAGGTGGGTGACTGGACGTCGACTTTTAAAATGCCCGCCTGACACTTACAGCCTAGACGACTGCTAACGACAGGTAAGACGTTTTAAAAAGGCATCGCAATTCGGCCACAAATAATTACTAAGGAATTTTGACAATACGCCTTAAGCTAGGCTCCACCATCTCAAAACGTATACCGTGAGTAAAAGTTAATACCGACCAATATAATAAGGCGCTAACGTCCGAGACGCAATAGAGAGGTTGCACGTGACGTCACGGTTAAGTAAACTTAAGTCCCCTTGTAAATATCCGCCATTTTGGGTCTACACAAAAACTTAAAATTGTGATCTGCTGTCACTGTGTCACGAAAGACAATGAATGTATCAAACACATTTATTAAATATTAGTATTATTAGGCTAGATCCAGTGTTTTAGTGTAGTTTGAATGTAGCTGGGCAGTGTAGTAGATCTAGTAAGACTAGGTTTTAACTACAATCATAGTAAATTGTTATACTCTAGACTCTAGCAGACTCGAGCTAGATCTAGATCTAGTCTGATCTAGATCTAGATTCTAGACCATTTGATTTGTCCGAATAGGAGTGACTCACTGACTGTCATTCAAATCATAAATACTATTATTAGTATTATACTAGTCTAAATCTAAATCCTAGACTATTAAAAAATAAATTATAAATAATAATGCCCAGTAACAGTATAATTAATACCATCAATATAGTGACTAATATACTGAAGTGAATAACGACTAGGCGTAGATAGTAGATCTAGATATAATAATGTTTTTTATGATTTATTTTTTATTAGGCCTAATGTATGTAGTTGAACAGACAATACTTCATAATGGCTGCAATCAATAATGAAACTGCAAATACAAGTGGAGCAGAAAATGACATTAAAAATTCTTCAGTGTCTGATTGTAAGGAGCCTCATAGGTTTTGTTTGAAACTGGCAAATCTGCAAGTGAATCAAGTAATGTTCAATCAGCAGAGATAATCTTGGAGACAGCAGTAAAAATTGCAGGGAAAGATAAATTCATTCAGTTAAACTCTAAGGGGCTTGAGATTGCTGTGAATCCCAAGAAAGACAACTGCAAAGGTTACATGTGTTGTATATTAAAAAAATAAAAAGAACTAGTAGGGACACGTTTTAATTATGATAAATGTCACTGCTATTTTAGCTTAAATCTGTCAATCATGTTGATCCTATCACCAAAACTACAGCCTCCCCACCCCACACATACACACAATGAAATCATAAAGTTTAAACATGCTCCACTAAGAACTATAGGCTTAAAACAAATTAAAGTGCTTTCATAATTTTAATTTTCAAGAAATATAAATAATATGCTGCTATAATTATGGAGCGGTGTGGTCAGATAACAGAGCATACTAGAGATTGCCTGCAAGTCTGCATTCAGATCATGGACTTGGGTCTCTAATGGGAAATTAATTATTCACATTTGAGAAAGTAAAGGTGGCTGGGCTTAGTGTAGATCACACTATTCCTTTGTATGTTGTATGGTCATAGAAACGGTTAAACTCTACTTTATCTGCCCCACAAATCACCAGGCTTGAAAGGGTACCTTTACTTATTGTCATATTTTCTCTCCCCCCCCCACACACACACACATTGTCCATTACATAGCGCATCACCACAAGTGTCAGATCCCCACCTGATTCTCTGTATGTCACTGCATTTGTGGATGACCATATGTGTTGTTTACATGAGATATTTCATTAATTACAAACAATTATAGACCTTCATGCAAGTTATTAAATTCCATCATACACATTATTACATTAAGTTACAACATTTATTTTTTCAGTCCTTTTTGTCCCATGGCGTGATATCATCTCAGCAGTGAAAGATACTAAACCTTCTGGTCAACAAAATTCTTCAGTTATACTTCATTATACACAAAACAGAGCCAATGGCACTTTGAGGCAAACATCATTAAGGATTGAAGAGCTTGGTGAACAGGATGAAAAATGGGTTAGCACCATTCATGATCAATGCCTTACAGGTAAAATATTTGGGACAAGTTTCCTTAATTAAAAAAAAAAAATCAGCATTGAGTGTTTAATTTCCAGATGTTTTGTTTTTTCAGTTGATGGCCGTCCTAAAAATCTTTTTGTCCTCGTCAATCCAAATGCAGGAACTGGAAAGGCTAGATAGATCTACCAACAAAATGGGCACCTGTTTTTGAATTAGCTCAAATATCTACAACAGTAATAGGTCGGTTTTTTTTTTCAAATTATAAAATTTAGGAAACTATTCTTTAAAAACATTTATCACTGAATATATTGGTATTCACAATTCTTTTACATTATCACTTGATACATTTTTTTTTAATATGCTTAACAAACTTCTGCTACCCTTTTAAAGTAAATTGCCATTTTATAAATTATTTTAGCTTTGAACCATTTAGTTATAGAATCTACAAAAATCCACATCAAAATAAATGTATAAACATTTTTTCACATTTCTCTTAGTAACAAGATCTTAAATCTAATCAATAGAGAACTTATTTCATTAAAGATTTACATGATGCTCTACTTTGTTGCTGGTTGCTGATCTATAGATTATTTTTGCTAACTGGCATTGTTTTAGAAACAGAAAGACCCAAGCATGCTTCAGAAATTGGAGAGACTCAAGATTTTTCCTTATATGATGGGTATAAATTTTAATATTTCCTCAGCAGGTTAAAGCTTTAATTACTGTGAAACTAAAATCTATATAGATATTTTTATATACATTACATGAACATGATTGGATGTTTGGTAGTATGATTTTTTTTAAAAAAATTCTGTTTTTTAATCTGTATACCTTCTTTTATTAGGCATACAAATATGTAATAGAAATAATTATAACCTCCATCAACTGATTTTATTCTGACAAGTATGTTAACAGATTCCTGTGTTACTTAAAATTTCCTATTGTACATGATTGCAATTTTTTCTCGCAGAGTTGTATTAGTTGGTGGTGATGGGCTGTATCAAGAGTTTCTACAAGGGCTCACAATACAAACACAGAAAAAAGCTGGTGTCAACTACCCCAGTCCAGACACCAAGTTTGTTCCAACTCCAATCCCCATTGGGATTATTGCTGCAGGTAACAGACTTATTATAGTTTCACTAATGTATTTGGTTGGTAATTAAATTAACATTTGTTTCTTTTTTTTTCCTTTTTTTATTTCTTGCAATTAGCGTGTTTTGAAATATTGTAAAATTATGGGATCCAGAAATTACAAACATTAATAGTTTCTAAATTCCATAATGTTTAATGGAGCTTGAATAATATATTTACTGCAGTGGGGTATGACAAACTAAACACCAAAGAGCAGAGAAAGTTAATATAAAAACACATAACAAATATATTTTAAATGGAATCAACCATCTTGAAGTCTACTCATTTTTTATTTTATTTGCATGATTCTGTATGGTGCTTACATCAACAGTCCATCAACATATGCTCAGTTATTCTCTTTAAAATAATGTATTGTTTTCTGCTTGGGGATAATAATGAAATGGAGGCCTTGTAATTTTGCAAGCCATGTATCATAAATAAATCTATGTATGAGAAATGGCTGTTAATTAGTTAGATATGCATACTGAAATACAACTCATTTCTGTAATGTTATTACCACAGGTTCAGGGAATGGTATTAGCCATTGGATTAATGGTACCACTGATTTTGAAACATCCGCCTTAAACATAGTTAGAGGTAAAAGAACATAGAACGGTTCCCACAGTAACTAGTAATTATTGTTTTTTTTTGTTGTTGTTGCAATAAACATGTGCACCAAATACTTGCACCTATTTGTTGAAATTAACAGCCAGCATGTCATGTCTATTTAATATTTATTTATAAGTTTAAGTTTCAGATGTGTACTTGTAATATTCAAAATTTTTACAAGGATACTTACATTTTTATCTAACTTCTTAAGTCACTTGTGCTACCAATTTTTTTTTGATTTTTGTATAGTTGACTTTCAGATGTGTAGTATTTAAAATTTCCAAAAGTATTTAAATTGTTAAACCTTTTTTTTAATTGATGTCATCTATGGTATAAATATTTTTTCAGATAGTTTAAAAAATGTCAAATATTTTAATCTGTAGGTGAACAGCACAGAGGCCAGATGTTTACAGTACACAGTGGTGATAAATTTGTTTGTGTCAGTGCCATGATGTTGGGCTATGGGGTGTGGTCTGACCTGATTGTAAGAGCTGAGGAGCTGAGGTGGATGAAAAGGGCCAGATATGCTTGTAAGCAACAGGAAGCAATGTGGCTAAAAAAACACTGCTATTTTTAATGCACTATTTTTCATACTAGTTACTCCAAGTTGACTCATCAGAAAGCACATAACATTGTTAAAGTTTTGTGTTTTTCAATAACTACCTAAGCTGAAGGTCTGTGCTCTATATATTTCAGATGTCATAATTGCCTCATTCTTCAAGAAGAAAAGGGTGTTCAAGTGTGAACTCACATACTGTGTGTCAAAAGATAAGAAAAACTGGTGAGGTTTTTCTAAATATTTGAGTAAAGCAGAAACAGCACTAGTACTTATAGCATTCATGTAATCAATCATACAGTATGTAAACCAGAAAGGGATAGTCATGCCCAACTAAACATTTGAAATACTAGAGAAATTGGCAACAATCCAAAATTATTTTTTTCCATTGAACTTTATTTTAAAAAAAATTCATTAAGAAGTAATTAACTAGTATAATTAATTATTGTAGATATGTTGTTGTGGACTTAATATATTTCTAGTTTGATTATTGCCATAAGCAATAGTTTATCCATGTCTGTAGGAAAAAATTACTTTGATTGATTGAAGGGTTGGGGTAACATTCGCCACATGTATGGCCAATAAGTTTTTCTGATGATCTTTTACCACTGTTTGATCAATGTTTTAATTCTCTTTAGTGTTGAAACTGATGGAGATACAGCACGTGAACCAGATGAAGGTACTATGTTTAGCATGTCTAAGTTTTTTTTTTCAATACTGGAGATTTGCCTGTGTAGCTAACTCATACTATTTTTCTTGCACAATTTTAATATATACTTTCAAGCATTTTAAATTAATATTGGATAATTTTAATAGTACAAGAAGTATTAAGCATTTAAACTGTTTTTAATGTATGACAATATTGTTTGGATAATTTATTTACTTATTTTCATTGTTCATAGAAAAGATACTTTTTTGAATTTGAAGTATTTTAAAAATTAAAAAAAATAACATTTTTTTATCTATAGAATGGGTGACAAACACAAAAAGCAACAACTTTTGTGGTGTGTTCTGTGCAACACTTACTACAGTACCAGATGGAGACAAAAGAGTTCTCAGTCCTTTTGGTACACATATCCAACTTGGCATAGACACAGGATATGGCCAGCTTGCGATGTTAAAGAACTTGTTTTATGTTCCTCCAGATGAAACAACTTCAGTAAGATAGAAATAGTTATGCCCCTTCTAAAATTAATTTTAAACCGTAGCATAAAACTGCATCTACATTTCAAGATTAGGAAGTAGAGGTAACCTTCACTTATGGCTTTAATGACTGTTCTGTACAAAATTGTGATATTTTATCACTTACTTCCAGTCAACATCTTTACTGTTGAAGCTTTAATATTAATAATTATCCCTTTAAGCTAAACGATAGTTCAGTCCATTTTTAAAAATATGTGCGAGGTAATTCTTCAGGGAGATATTTCTTTCTTTTTATTAAATATTATCTTCTTTTATTTATCAGTCAACCCCTGCGGCTAATCTAGAATTCATACCTCATGTGACTGCGTTTAAAATCAAATTGTTGAGAGACGAGTCTGAAGAAAACTTGACGCAAGCACAAGCTCAAACAAGAGAGATGGAGAAAGTTTTGAACATAGATGGGGAAATTGTTTATGTGGACAACTCAGAGATCAATGTCAGGTAAGAAATAGATTGTTGCGTCGTAATTATTTTTTACTTAAGTCTTCTAAATAGGTAAAAGTTCCTTCAAAATGTGTTAACCTATTTTTAGTTATTTAATTACTTTAATTTGCTAACAGTTAATTTGATTAGGAACTTCTAAAATTACAATCTTAGACATAGGATGTAAGATTGATTTGTTATCTATTTCTCAGACTTCATTCATCATATGCTGCCCTTTACGGACGTGATAAAGTAAATATTTCATTTTGGAGTTAGAGTTGGCTGGGGAGAATTTAATTATTTCTTCTTAGTTTTGGATTTATTATACACTTATTTGTAACCCATTTTTTTTAAAATTGTATCATAGAGATGCTGGATAAGATACAAAATAGTCTAACTTAAAAATCTGCATTTACCGAGCATATTACTTGTGATACGATAGCAACAAAAATGTTCATAGATTTTTATATTTTTTCTGAACCTGCCTTCCTTATTGCACTTGACTTGGCTTTGTGCTGGTCACAGAGCCCAATTTTTATAACCTTGTAAACTCTACACCACAAAAATAAATTACCAATTTGTTTTTAAAAATATATATATTTACAGCATGGTACAACTAGCATGAAGCAGATAACTTCTTTAATTAAAAGCTATATTTTAAATAGATTTATTTATTCCATTGACAAGAAAATACTTGTACCTTGCTCATTTAAGATGAACATTTGAGTTTTGTCTGTGTGTTGTATAATTAATCATTTCTGTATAATCAATCATTTTACAGTTTGTATTATGGATCAATAAGTGGCATATTTCCTTTGATTATTTGTTAACTTTCAATACAATACAGTGCAATACAATATATACAATATATCCTATCAATTTTGGGCACAGTGTTGTTTTATTTGTTGTTAGAAAGGTTTGTACTATAAATCTCCAATATTCCATTCACTTGTCTTAATGTAGATGTTTTGATCAATTTTTTAACACCCTCAATATATGTATCAACTGCATCAGTGTAAACAAATTGTTTTTAATGTGCTTATTAACTATTTTATAAGTGTCCTTAATTTTGTATGATAATTTACATCATACTTTACACTTTTTCTGATATTTTTTATTAAGTATATTTATACAAGATATATCATAATGTGTCAATGATGTTGAGAATACCATCTGAGTTGTTTTTTCCTGACATTGTACTGCAAATTAAATATTTAAATTTTTTTTTAAATTTTGTGCTGGTTCACATTAAACTTGTAATAGATCTTAAGTAGATTATATTTAATGCTGCACATATTTACTTATATATCTCTAATTTTAAAAACTTTTTTCATACTTTTTATGTACTAATGAGCTATGTCAAAGTGATTCAGAAACATAATTAAATGTGCTATTAAATGTACTTATTGTTAAAATTGTTGAAGCAATAAAATCCATTGTCTATTAACATTAACCTGTATTTTATTTTATCAACATTTATCTGCTGTTCAATTTTTGGTTGTTCACAAATGGGTCTGTTGAAATCAATGTCAGAAAGAAAAACATAGGGTTAGAGATTTTCAATATCATGTCTATAATTTATTGTTCACATTTTCAAATGTCCGATAGGAAATACCTAACAACTGTTTCTTTTGTCTGACTAACTAGCAAACACTCTGTTTTAATCCATAGAAAAAATAGTCTTAACTGTTTTTAATTAAATGACACAACATTTGTAAAAGTAGTTACATAAAAAAATCTGAGAAAAAAACAACACATCACATAAATAGTTAATCAAATGGAAAAATTAAACATGTATTTCACTAATAGTTAGTAATAGTTCACATACAATTTTTTTATTATTAAATTTTCTTAACAGTTTTTACATTAATTTTTTTTTTACAAAAACAACTTTTAAAAAAAAGCATTTTTGGCTCAATTAATTACCAAGGAATACTTACTATAAAATTTAACATAACAATTTTTTTTAGTATAATGCACAAACCAATAAAAAAAAATATCTAGTCCCAGGAAAAGCTTTAAGAAAATTGTAGTTATAAAATTATCAAAATAACTAATAAATTATTGTATATGCATAGTGCCATACTGGTTACTTAATACAGTAATAATAATAACAAACAACACACAGTATTCATCACAGGCATTAATTTTTGTACAGAAATAAGGGTTTCTTATCTTTGAGAAATTTCACTCTTTGATCTGTTTCACTGTAAAGATAAATGGATAGTTAAAAGACATTTTCATGATTGAAATTACAGCAGTTTTGTTGTCATGATAAATTGTATATCCTTTCTTTTAATTATCCAGACTTTTAAATAACTTGTGGTCCAAATTCAACTCTGTTGTACTTTTAGGCACTTTAGATTGTGGTGTCTTGGCATGTTAATGCTCCCTTTCTTTAAATTTTAAGTTTGATATATTTTTAAAACTGTAATAGTTATCTATATATATAATTCTCTTCTGGGAGACGCTAGAAAACAAGCTGTAAACGCGCTCCCTACCATCCCCACCCCTACGTGGTCTTAGTGAGCTGTGGTTCACGCTATGTTTACCTTCGTGGAGTCGGGTTTAGTGACGGCTATTAGGGGCAGATAATTTAGTTTGAAACGATTTTAAACGTTGGGGGGGGGGGGGGGGGGGGGGGTTTATGGTCCTTAACGAGCTACTTATAGTGTTTTAAAGAAATATTTTCAGTGTCAGCGTTGGTACTGTCGAATTCACAAATTATGATTTACTGAAAAGTAGAAAAAACAACAATTAAATAGCGGCGTATGTTATGTTGCGGGCCGGCTCGTAGTATTTATTGCACATTTACAGTTTTATGCATTATTTTGTAGAAATGGTTAAATACTGTAAACCATTGTAAAACTGCTGACCAAATACTTACATTTGGGAATGTTGACTTTGTTGGAGACTAAAACATCAGCTTGCACATGGTTCATGTTGAGATACAAGGTTTCTGGGTTTGACTACACATTGAAAAAAAATAATGGTAGAAACAAAACGTATCATCTACATTTAATACACTAAAATGATTAAGCGCTGTCTATTATTACAGCAAAATGCAATAACAGTATGATGTTAGGACAACTCACCATAAACAAATCGTACAAAGTTTCTCCAATAGCATCACGCACATGGTCATCAACAATTGAGAAAGTCCGACAAAAGTGCTAAAGATACCAGAGAAAATTAAGTTTTACTGATTCTTTAATTTAGGTGCTATAAATAAACTTTTGATTATAGAATGAGTTTGTGATCAATCATATGCATAAAACTAGTCTATATTCAACGATACACAGAAGTTAAAGTTAACAAATGACTTGTCATGGAAAATACACATAAGTTAGATACATTTAAAAGAAAATATTTACTATATTCGTACAAAATGAAAAAAAAATCCAAGTTTAAAAGATATCCAGAAATGAATTTTTTAAATTTTAGAGTATAATGCCTAAATACCAAATAGAACTATGTTTAACTTGAAAAAAAAATTCAAATTCAAACGCAAGCATGTCTAGTATTTATAATATGAAATAAAAGCATCTACACACCTCTAGAGTAACACTGGCTTGTCTTTGGCTGTCTGCATAATCAACATTCCCCATAGCATACAACAGGTGGTGTGTCACCCTCAACTAAAGGAATAAATGGCATCAGATTTAGCTAATTAGTTGTAAGGTTAGCACAGCACAGAATGCAGCTCAGTTAACAATACTAAAGACATTTAAATGGTATTGGTACAACATAACCAAGTCTATTTATAACTGACCTGAATAAGCTTCTCAGCTACTCTGTTATTGTCTCGAGCTAGAATTCTTTAAAAAAATTATTGGATAAAAAAATCTGAGACTGAAGAGCATTCAAAAAACTACCTAATGATATTAACGTTATTTAAAGTCTATATAAAGGAAAAAAAAATGGAGACGCTGTGTTTGCTTTGTACTCAAATGATAAACTCACCCGATAGTTTTAGCAGCGGCAGCTTGTTGTACAAACACAGGCATTGGAGCATTTAACTTGGGTTGTAGGGAGTCTAGTATTCAAATAAACCATTAAAGGAAATATTAGTTGGAAATTTTGAAACACTGTGGTGGAATAAAATATAATTAGTCAGTTGATCTTAAGTGCATTTATTTATTTAAACTATGTTTCACAGTTAAAGCAATAGGGTATAAGCTTAGGTGGTAGAGCTCTTGCTTAGGATGTAAGAGGTAGTTGGATCAATAACCTACTCCATAATTACATTATGGGACAACAATGAGTGTTACAGTTATTATAATGATAATAGTGAAAACAAATAGCTTTGTAGCAAAAAGTAGCAAATAAAGGTATTGTAAATGATTTTTTAATAATAACATTAGTTAAACTCTTTCAAGCATGACAAAAAATCCCACAGATTACTGAAATGAAAAATGTAAAAATATGACAAACAACACACTTAGCTAGTTAGATAAATAAACCGCTAACCATCAGATGTGTCATGCCTGGCCAACACATCTTCAACTGCTGGCCTCAACAGGGCCACTAGGCCACTTAACAGCGAATCAGCAACCTCATAATCCATCAACTCTTTTATCAGCTCAATGGCTAATGGTCAACACATGAATAGAAATAACAAATATAATATATAATTGTAATACATTTTAAATGTATCTTTAAATTACCAAATTTAAATGATTAAATATCGTGTGATATCCACCTCATCCACACCTAGCGTTTAAATTAACAAATATTTATCCATTTATTTATACATAATAATCCAGGGTAGCCGGGAAACACTTGCCTGAATGGTAGTTTGCTCAAATAGGCCTGTGCCCAAATAAAAAATTTACATTATAAATTATCAAGCAAAGGTCCATTTGGACAGCTGTTAATTGTGAGCAAATATCCATCCTAGCATTTGTCCTATTCAGGCATTTGTTGCATTTGGGGAAATGTCCATTTGGGGCAACATCCATTCGGGCAAGTGTCTTTTGAGCATTTGTTGTACATCCAAGATTCAGATATTTAACTATAAACATATTAAAAAACCATGAGCATTTTGCATAATAAAAAGAGTTATTGTAATTTAATGGTTTAAAAATGTTCAACCTTCAAACTGGACCTCAAGGTGTAATGTCCTCAAAAGATTCAGCAGTGGCTCTATAATTGTTGCGTTGGCTGTTCCAACAATGGGCTGCACCACACGTAAGGCACTGCATGCCATCTGTTGGGCTTTGGGGGAGCTACAGGGCAGCAGGGCAATAAATCCTTTGTAGACCTGGACATTAAACACAGCACACAATAATGATACTGTCAACATCACTCATGTTATCTTACAGGACTTTCTCAACATTTTAAATATTTACTATGTGAAATAGATTGAATTGAAAATACTTTGTAAAATATATGACATGTTTACAACATGTTCAAGCTTGTCTATTTAATCTAGTTATCAAGCTTTATAACAAAGATGGTATGTTTAAATAGCCAAATTTTTTTTTTTGCTTTCTAAATTTGTTGCTGAATAAGGATTCCTTTAAATTTTTAAAAAGCAAAAACTGATGTAAAAATTCTCAATCTAATCCTAAAAAAGCCAATCATTTTTAAATTTCAAGAAGAAAATCTCTAATTATCTTTAATTATCATCAGACCTGATTTTGAAACTTTGGATTGCCCTGTGCAAGCATAAGAAGTAGATTCTTGCAAGCGTCCTGCGTCTCCTCCACTTTAGACTTGGCCAGACACTCCGCTACAGCTCTGATACCTTTTGTTTTAAAATCACGTTACAAAGATTTTAATTTCTCTCATAGAATTGTAAGCTATAATGCTTACCTTGTTTAAAATATGATAGAAATGTCCGGCATTGCTTTAACTTGAATATGGTATCTTGTTGTGGGTCTAAATATTAAAGGTCTTAACTCATTCGTTTAGCTAAAGATATGCATTGATTAATAGTGTATTAATTACTTAGAAATCCAAAGATATATTAAAAATACTACAGACTTCCTCAACTTGTAAGAGTCTAATTATATTAAAATGGATAGATAAGAATTTAGCTGCTAAGCATGGTTTAAAACATGATCAGCAGTTTGAGAAGGAAAAATGACAAAAAATCTCCATCCTCCCTACTCATCATCCCCAAAACAAATCTCATTGATGTATTTATTAGGTAATGTATTTTAAGACTGGTACCATGAATTTTATGAACAAGCTTATTCAAAAGAGACATAAAAATCTAATAGGGATGTTGAAGCTTAAGAGACATCACTTGAAAATTTACCTAATGTAGGCCAACATTACAGCTGAAGCTACATCTCAAAACAATTTTTATTTATGCAGAGACATGATGTCTTAATGAATTGTTCTCTTCTCTTTGTCATTTATAAACAATCCCTAAATGCTACTATAGTATAGACTGGAAATACTACTCAATCAAAAGTCACCAACTATAACGTTACCATAGCTTTCACAAATCAGCTCTTTATATTTCCTCCCGGCATTGGCGATGTGATGTAGACACCTCAGGGCTGCAGTTTTGTCAGCTTCCTTGGCTTGTTTAAGACCAATGATCTCCAACAATGTCAGTGTTCCGCCTACTTCCATAAATTCTGCCATGAACTTATGACTGCGGAAATATAATTTTAAACAAATTAATATATTTTTTAAAGCAAATGTCACTAAACAAATAAACTCACTAAGATACATTATAAAAGTACATTGTCTAATGAACAGAAATAGGCCTTCACACCTATATAGTTATAAAGGCTATACCGGTGTTTATGACATTTCGGAATGAATTGTTGCAAGAGAAGTAGGATTGCATATAGATCTACACACTTTAAAAAAAAAAAACCATAATAATATCACTACACAGACACAGGACTAGAATAACAAGGAAAAATATAAAAGGAAATAAAAAATGATCTGGAAAAGATTGGTTGAGAGCAAGACAGTGGTGTAGGCAGGGGGGGGGGGGGGGGTTAGGGGGGGTCACAACCCCCCCCCCCCCCCCATAGACCCCTCGGTATATATATAAAAAGTATGAGGCGGGTGCAAATCAAAAGTTTGAGGGGGGGGGGGTGCAAATCGGAAGTTTGTTCCCGGGTAAAAATTGGAACCCCCCCTTGAGACGATCCTGGCTACGCCACTGGAGCAAGATAGCAAATACTTGATTTGGCATGGCTGAAGGTGTAGGGAATATCTATTAATTTGACGGAGTCTGCCTATGAACATAAAGGAGTAGAAATAAATTAATAAAAAAAATTCTGAATAGAATTTCATACCCACTAGATGCAGCAAGAAAAACTGTCACAGCTTGAAGTAACTCATTCAAACATACTCCAGTCATGTAACTAGAGATAAATTAAGGAAAATATAACAATATAGACATGTGCTTATTAAATCTAGATCTAATTATTTAAAGGCTTAACACTTGATTTGACTTCAATGATGAGAACTGTTCAGCAGTCATCCATGATAAAGTTTCATAAAAATGGATACTAGACAAACTAATTAACTTTATGCTAAAATAAATAACATATAAAATATAGGCCTATACATACATTATACATTACTATGTATCATATTAAAAATAGGCCTATAGTATTATGCTACAAAGGGCTACACAGCCTAAATAATAGGCTAATTAACATTAATAATATAATGTAGAAAAACAGCTGTAATTTTTATCCAATATTGAATGGGTCTTCAGTTTTAAAATAAATTTCTGTTTTTTAGTAATACTACTAGTAAACTAGTGTACTCGAAACCTACTTAATAATTAGTACTTACAGATTCAGTATTTTAAGTAAGAATCTAATTTATTTAGTTTACCGTGTTGGTAACTAGAATCTAAATAGTACTAAAATACTACTATATTATTACTGTATTACATTTTATTAGATTAATAATCATATTAGATAGATATTAGTATTAAATATGATAATGCCAATTATCATAATGATATATAATAATATACATTATATATTATATATTATATAATATATAGTAAAGTAAAGTTTCCTTTCAAACCTGACAGTCTATAGGGCAAGTAAAGTAGAGTTCACTTGTTTCTGTGACCTCGGCATATGAAGAGAGTGTGGTCATCACTATGCCCAGCCACCTTTACTTTTCCTAACCTAAAGTTATTAAAGTTAGGTACCCATCAGAGTTGGGTGGAGTCAAGGACGGTTTACTGACTTGAACCCGGATTCGAACTCGAGACTTACGGGTTATATTAATATTATAGCAGTCCAGCTCTCTACCGCTAGACCACTCCATCCCATATATAATAAATAAATAATAAATATAATATATATATTTTCTATTTAGTATTTAGTTAGTAGTATTTTTATTTAGATCTAGAATTCTAGATCTATAGTAATAGTTAAAGTTAAGTAAATACTAAATAGTAGTATATACTCTATACTCTACTCTATACTATACTTAGAACTATACTAGTTTACTAGTATGTTGATAAACTAATTAATTTTAAAAGGATACGTAAGTCTAAGCCATGCTGTTAACCTAGTGAGAAAGAGACTGGCTGCTTGAGCGAACTCCTGTTCAAGCTCGGGTCCCGTTTTATTTTGATTTTGTGCTATGAAATCTTCTAACATCTTTCTTCTGACTTGCTTTGTACCCCTGTCCCATTCTTGCAAAATATCCATAACCCGCGAAATTGATGTCTGTTGTTTTGCCGAGCCCATTTTAAAAATATAACACTGAACAGCTTTAAAAATTAGTAAAGAATTGGTATGATTTCGAAAACGGAATCTTTGTTGACATGTTGCTACAGCGCCATATTGCGATCGATTTTTTAATAAACCTGCGGGTACATTCTCGATGTAAAATGATTTTAATAATTTAATCTAGATCTAGATCTAGATATACAAATAAAATATTGTTTTTTCGAATAAAAGAAAAATTTCTATTCAGCTAAAAGTTATGTTAGTCTCTAGTCTAAGTTTAAATGTTGTCAAATAATATTAATTTTGTTAGAATGTCTTGTTTCAGAAATGTAAATTTTAAGTTTTTTAAAAACGTGTAATGTAACATAGAAACGATGGACGAAGAAGAGTCTAATGATTTTCCCGGCGACAGTTTTGAAAACTATTATTTTAGATCCAGACTTAGATCTCCTACTAGTAGAACATCTAATATATCTTCTTCTTATTTTAAATCAAATCCAGTTGTACTTTTGATTTATATAAAAGATGAAAATATCAACAAGACATCTCCTCAAAACGACCAAAATTATCTGCGCCCATTTCGGAAAATTTACGAAATGAAAGGGTAGGACTTAGATCTAGATCTAGATCTAGATCTAGAATCTAGGACTACTGACAAGTTGTCAGTGACAACTGAATGAATCAATACTGACTATGCTGATTCTTTCTGAGAATTATGCTTAAAATTTAAAATGACCTAGAATATAGACTGGATCTAAATCTAGATATAGATTAGATTATAATGATTCAATGAAGAGATTAAGTCTAGATTCTTAAACTAACTATTAATAAATCAATTAAATGAAATTGATTAATAATATTAATAATTTAAAATATTAATAATTCAACCCATTTACTATTTACGTTTCAGTTATACAGTTCTACTGGTTACCCCAACAGCTGACAGACTGACAGCTCAAAATATTGAAGAGGTGGTTACAAGTCTTCTAGAAAGCCTAGAAAAGCGCCAACTTGATAAAAACCCACTTATATTGCATGTTTTAGGACATGATGCAATTCCTTTTCACAATGCACTATGCCACAGAGTACATGATGAAAGAGAGATTGGTAACTATTATGATGTAAGTACTCATGCCGTGCCCTAAATCCATTTTTGTGCCCTGGCAATGCCCTGACATAGTAGAAATCCATTTTTGCATCCTGGCCATTCCCTAAATCCATTACAGGTAGAAATCCATTTTGTACCCTGGCTATGTCCTAACATAGTACAGGTAGAAATCCATTTTTGCAGCCTATTGTACTAAATTAGAAGGAATCAGAAAGTATACACTTTTTTTTTATTACATACACTCACTGCATGTCATCCAAGATGGAGTATGGGCTGCCAACCAAAGATCTTCTGAGTCCTGTTTCCTTGGCCTTTTTGCCAATTTGACTTCTGGTCTCATTCTCATGTCACATCACTAGTTTTTACTTACAAATATAACATGATAACTTATTGTTTTAAAATGTTGGCAATCTTTTACTGATTATAATAATCTTAATGTTTTTATTTAACCAACAGATTAGAGGCTGTATCCTAGATAGCTGCCCCATGCAGAAAAGCAGAATTTTGGAACTGATAAAGAATAGAGCCTCATTTATTTATGATTTTTATATTCTGCTCGTGTGTTTAGTACGCACATTCTTCCCAGAATTCTTTGGAGGGGCAAGAAATGTAGATGACTATCAAGACTTCTGTACCCATCCAGGTTAGTTTAGTTAGCCAACATATTTTGTTGGTACCAGACCAAAAATAGATGAAGCTCAGAATATCTTCAAAACAACATTTTCTTAAAAGGATGATTTTGTCTAATTACGAGAGTAGTCCAAATGACAAGGGGATTATTATATTATATATTATTATTATATTTTGTAATATTTCTTCAGAATATACATTATTCAAACTAATGTATGTGAAGTAATGTTCCCCTTCCAAACCTGATGGTCACTGTTCCCTCTAAGGGGAAAAGCTAATGTGCAAAATGTATTTTCTGTGCCCTCTGTTCTAAATGTCTTATGCGCGGCAGCTAAAAACTACTGCGCGGCCAGACACCTGTGCAGCTTAGAGGGAAAATTGCTGATGGTCTATGGTGCAAGTGAAGTAGAGTTCACAGAAAATAACCAATTCATAGCCTCAACGTAAAACTTTTTAAAATTTCCAATAATTACTTGAAAATAGGATTTATAAAGAAAATTGCAGGTTAAAATTAATAAAAAAAAACAACATTCAATATATAATAAGTTTGTTGTCATTTATTGTGTAACATAGTAAAAAATGTTGATGTTTCTTGTCCATTATCAGGTAAATGGCATGAGCTGTTCCTGTACTCCACATCTGACCACGTCGTACCCCACACAGACGTTGAGAAGGCTATCAGCCATCGTCATGCTGCCTTTGGGATGGTGGACCAGAAATGCTGGGATGACACCCAGCACGCCAGGCACTTGTACGCCCACCAGGAGGAGTACTCACAGCTTTGTTTGGACTTTGTTGACATGTGTTTGAAAAAAATATCGTAAAGACTGGTTGAGTAGGTGATATAAAATGTGGTAATCATTGTATGTGGTATACCGCTACAAAATTTGTTTTTTTATATACAATTTTATCATGTTTGTTTACTTTTTATATTATACGTAAAAGTTGGTTTATCCAGACATGATATGCTGGAGAGGCAACTTTTGTTTTTTAGAATATATTTTTAACTACACAATATAAGTTCATTTTATAGTTATGTACATCAAATATGTGCCTTCTAATTTTTATTCAAATGTCATTTACATGCTGTTTTTTAAGAGTGAATCAAATCAATTCTAAGGTGGTGTGGTTGTGATAAAAAGATAATAGCTAACCATGATGTCTCCAAGTTCTGTTTCTGAGCATTTTAGGTTGATGTCCCTGGGTCATGGAAATGTTCTTTGGTCATGGAGATGTCGCTGGGTCACAAAGATATCCCTGGGTAACGTAGATATCCCTGGGTCATATAGATGTCCCTGGGTCATTGAGATGTCAGTGGCTCATATAAATGTCCCTGGCTCATATAAATGTCCCTGGCTCATATAGATATCCCTGGCTCATATAGATATCCCTGGCTCATATAGATATCCCTGGCTCATATAGATATCCCTGGCTCATATAGATGTCCCTGGCTCATATAAATGTCCCTGGCTCATATAAATGTCCCTGGCTCATATAGATGTCCCTGGCTCATATAGATATCCCTGGCTCATATAGATATCCCTGGCTCATATAGATGTCCCTGGCTCATATAGTTGTCCCTGGCTCATATAAATGTCCCTGGCTCATATAGATATCCCTGGCTCATATAGATATCCCTGGCTCATATAGATGTCCCTGGCTCATATAGATATCCCTGGCTCATATAGATATCCCTGGCTCATATAGATATCCCTGGCTCATATAGATATCCCTGGCTCATATAAATGTCCCTGGCTCATATAGATATCCCTGGCTCATATAGATATCCCTGGCTCATATAGATATCCCTGGCTCATATAAATGTCCCTGGCTCATATAGATATCCCTGGCTCATATAGATATCCCTGGCTCATATAGATGTCCCTGGCTCATATAGATATCCCTGGCTCATATAGATATCCCTGGCTCATATAGATATCCCTGGCTCATATAGATGTCCCTGGCTCATATAAATGTCCCTGGCTCATATAGATGTCCCTGGCTCATATAGATGTCCCTGGCTCATATAGATATCCCTGGCTCATATAGATATCCCTGGCTCATATAGATGTCCCTGGCTCATATAGTTGTCCCTGGCTCATATAAATGTCCCTGGCTCATATAGATGTCCCTGGCTCATATAGATATCCCTGGCTCATATAGATATCCCTGGCTCATATAGATATCCCTGGCTCATATAAATGTCCCTGGCTCATATAAATGTCCCTGGCTCATATAGATGTCCCTGGCTCATATAGATATCCCTGGCTCATATAGATATCCCTGGCTCATATAGATGTCCCTGGCTCATATAGTTGTCCCTGGCTCATATAAATGTCCCTGGCTCATATAGATATCCCTGGCTCATATAGATATCCCTGGCTCATATAGATATCCCTGGCTCATATAGATGTCCCTGGCTCATATAGTTGTCCCTGGCTCATATAAATGTCCCTGGCTCATATAGATGTCCCTGGCTCATATAGATATCCCTGGCTCATATAGATATCCCTGGCTCATATAGATATCCCTGGCTCATATAGATATCCCTGGCTCATATAGATATCCCTGGCTCATATAGATATCCCTGGCTCATATAAATGTCCCTGGCTCATATAAATGTCCCTGGCTCATATAGATGTCCCTGGCTCATATAGATGTCCCTGGCTCATATAGATATCCCTGGCTCATATAGTTGTCCCTGGCTCATATAGATGTCCCTGGCTCATATAGTTGTCCCTGGCTCATATAAATGTCCCTGGCTCATATAGATGTCCCTGGCTCATATAGTTGTCCCTGGCTCATATAGTTGTCCCTGGCTCATATAGATGTCCCTGGCTCATATAAATGTCCCTGGCTCATATAGATGTCCCTGGCTCATATAGATATCCCTGGCTCATATAAATGTCCCTGGCTCATATAGATGTCCCTGGCTCATATAGATGTCCCTGGCTCATATAGATATCCCTGGCTCATATAGTTGTCCCTGGCTCATATAGATGTCCCTGGCTCATATAGTTGTCCCTGGCTCATATAAATGTCCCTGGCTCATATAGATATCCCTGGCTCATATAGATATCCCTGGCTCATATAGATATCCCTGGCTCATATAGATGTCCCTGGCTCATATAGATGTCCCTGGCTCATATAGATGTCCCTGGCTCATATAGATGTCCCTGGCTCATATAGATGTCCCTGGCTCATATAGATGTCCCTGGCTCATATAAATGTACCTGGCTCATATAGATGTCCCTGGCTCATATAGATGTACCTGGCTCATGGAGATGTCCCTGGGTCATATAGATGTACCTGGCTCATATAGATGTCCCTGGCTCATATAGATGTCCCTGGCTCATATAGATGTCCCTGGCTCATATAAATGTCCCTGGCTCATATAGATGTCCCTGGCTCATATAGATGTTGCTTGTTCGTGGAGATGTCCCTTTGTCTGTTGTATATCCCAGATTCATGGAAATATCCTGTCTGTTATTATGAACCAGGTAGCTAACTCACTTGTATACCTTTCCTAAATGTAGCCAAATATTGATTGGTATCTATATGAATATATATAGCTATAATCCTTTAAATGTGGAAATTCATAGTTTCATGTTTATAACTACTAGTATAAAACCTTTTACTACAACTAGAATTGAAACAAATTTTTTTATCTGGTCTCTTTCTTAAATGCATGTTCATTCTTTGAAATAAAAAATAAATTACTTTTGCATGTTAAGAAGATTAATTTAATACCAATGCAGTTTAGACTACCAATGCATATAAAATTATATTGCTCCAAATGATTATAAAATTAGTATGAATGACTAAGAGCAGGTTTATTATTTATTTATTTAATAAAAAATTGAATGTTTTTAAAAAAGGCATTGTATTCTCACCATTGAATAATCATATATTCATTTTCTGTGATAGACAGGTGGACATTTGGAGTGATTGTTTTAAAATGTATAGCTGTACCGGTACATTATATATCAGTATTTAATATATCACGTCATTAAATCATTATACAAATGCGTGGTGTATTTTTTCAGATGTATGTGTTCGTTGAAAACAAGTTATTTCTTCAAATTAAAAATGTATTTGAATTTGATTGTGTGACAATGACATAATTATAAAAGAATGGGTCTCAACCTCAACTTTTGAATTTTTTCACTAAAATTGTTGCAAAATTTTCTGGTGCAATATTCAGTAAGATACAGCAATTGCTTGCTTGGTCTGTTTTGATTTTTAAATGTGCTGTGGGGGGGGGGGGGGGGAAGGGCAGTTTAAGGGACTTAAAGGGGTAACACCAAAACGATAATTCTTTTAACTGAAAAGACAATAATTAAATGGTGTTCTTTATTAGATAACTGCTTCTGCCCACACATTCTTTCTATTTATTTTATGGTTATATAATTGTTCTAAAAGGATTGATTTGAAGAACCGTTATAGTATTTTCTTTAGTTAGGAATACAGCATTCCCATTTTATTCATGAAATAACGATCTGTTCAATTTGATTGACAAAGTGGCATCAACCATTTCAACCACTTTCTGGACAATAATGGCGCCTGTTACCTGGCAACATCATTAAAAAGTAATAAAGAGATTTCCCGCTTCATCGATTTCTCTCACTATTAAGTCAAGCACGCAGATTTTTTTTTTTTTTTTACAAATGGACCATCGTGTATCAGGTGCCTAGAAAGAATTCTACTGATTCCCTGGCCAGACGCCATATATATATATATATATATATATATATATATATATATATATATAGTGTGTGTCTGGTTAGGGGAGGGGGGTGATAAAATCTAAACATAAAACGTATTGCTACGCGCCAATAGCTATTTCAAAAGATGAGTTGGTCTCGCAGTGCGTCTGGTTTCCTGTGTGTGCGATAGAACAAGATCCATTATTGATTTTATAGCCACGTGAACTGTCGTCTGATTGTTGCATGTTGAAGAGCGTAATTAAACAACACACGCACCGTTTCACTCATTACAAGGGTTCTAAAAGTTGTGTCATGATGATGACTTTCATCTTATCCCAAAATATCACTTTGTGTATTGACGAATAGCAACCTGAAAAATTGAAACAACACTTGTTTTTTTTTAAGCAAAGCAATTCGTGAATTTTTTTAAAAATTAGTAATACTAAGTTTACATTTTAAATTATTATTTGTTTGCGCGGCCTTGTCATTAAGAGAAAAAAAAATTAATAGCCTACATGCCGTTGTTTTTCATCGGTCTCATATTCTATTGTCCCACAACACCAACGACAGTGTTTATTTTTTATTTTAGACATCTCTCAACGGAATCCCCGCCCCTTACTTTGAAAGCATTAAACCCCTTTCCTATGGAGAAATCGAAAAAAAAGAGTAACAAAAAATAGACTTAACAAATGACACCTGTAATAATTGTAATGCAGAATATATCAGAATCCCTGTACGGTAACAAGGATAATTAAAAAGTGAAAATTGAACAGATCTCAGTTTAAATCCCCCAAATTTCGGGTTAGCAATCTAGCGCTCTACCGCAAGGCCACGTCGGCACTTAAACATGTTAAAGCTGCTATTTATTAATCGGTGTACATACATAAGCTTAATTTTGTTTAAATATAAATTGCTCATAAGCTTCAAGAATTAAGATTAAGAATTAAATATGCGCAGCTCAACGACGTAAAGTATATTTAGCATTTAGGTTAGGTTAGCCTGTCGCCCTTCCTGGGGCATAGGCCGCTGACAAGAGCTGTCCAAACATATCTCCAACTGTCCCCAGGTGTATCCTTTTGCCCTTTGGATTTTCTGTTAAACTAACATTATTACACACCCTCTCGGTGGCGTCACTAGGGTGCGTGTCATCGGGTGCTGTATGTGAGGGTATCGCCCCACCCCTACAGCGTTGCATTTCCCGCATGATGTCACCTGTCTGCCTTACTATCTTGGTATTTTAAGTTGATAAAAATAAAACATCATTTTGACCGCAAATTTTACAATTTTTTTCTATTTCATGTCACCCCTAATTAGTGTCACCCGTTGCGGAACACCCCTCCCCCCCCCCCGCCTTGTGACATTACTCTCCTTTCTTGCCTTGAGCCTTTTTTTAAATTAAAAAAAAATAGCCCCCACCTTCCCACAATCTCTATTTCACC